ATAATCGCGAAAAACTTTTATCATTATTTTAGAATCAGGATATGTCCCTCGACCTGCAAATTTAGAATTGAATTATAAAAGGGTGAGAAAATATTTTTCCTAAGCTGTAGTTTTAATTTGATTTTAGTGTAAAAGATTTGCAATATTAACATATTCTAGGAATGGGGAGAAAATTGTTTAACACCTTTTTTTTATTTTTATTTTTGACACCAAAAATAACCTTTACCTCAACTGATATACCCTTAAAAAAAAATGGTAAATTTTGGAAATTCTCAAATCATATGCTATTGCAATGAATTAAGAGAATAATTATTATTATTATTTGTACTTAAAACATGATTAACAAAAATTACAAAGAAATAAAACATTAAGTTTTTTGTCAGGTTGCTGTACTTTTTTCTATATCTTATTCACCACTACTGTAAAAATAAAGTATAATTACTTAAACGATGCATACTCATACTCTGAAGTATTTATAAAAAATTAATCTGAATGAAAATATCAGTTGTGGTAAGGAAAAATTTAAGTTAGTTGAACAAAAAAAATGAAAATAAAATAATTATCCAAAATAAAACAGACTCTATCTTTAATACAAGCAAGCAGACGATGTGGTTAACTTTATATTTCAAGATAAAAATAATTATTTGAACCATGTGTTGTAGAAATATGATAATTGTAATTTGCTAATCTAATAATTTCAAATAAATTCCATTTCATCTTTAATTACAATTTCTAACAAATTTATTAATCCTAATCGAAATTTAAAAATTCAGCTATGAAATAAGAACAAAGAGTATTAGTAATAAGCATACATACTAAAGAAGGTTAATCAATTCCAAAAACTTTGAATAGAAAATTAAGTGGTCTATTGGATTTTCAATTTTTTGGATTGCTTTATCGAATATAATAAACTATTTCCTTTTAGTTAAAAGCCACATAATCTAACTAGGGATTGTTGAAAATTTTAAGAACTACTGATCTATTTGAAAGTAAGTGGAATTAATATCATCATTAAGGAGGAGGATAAATATATTTTTTTTAGTTAAGCCAATCTCATCAAACATGATTACTCTAGTAGCAAAATATTACTCAATTAATATCCTTATCTATTTTTAGAATTCACCTATATTTTTAATTAAAGATGATTTAAAAGCGAAAAACATGAAAATTAGATAGGGGAAAGTTGATGACAGGATGACATTGAAGATAATTAACGAATTATGAGTATAATTAGTAAGGGAACTATAAAATACTCTAAGTAAATTTGATTTGGAACTCAACTTTGAGTGAATTTGATGCTAATTGAGGAAGGAAGCTAGCAAGGACTTCTTGAAGGCTATGAAGGAAGAGGATTATACCACTGAGGTTCAACAGTTTCTTTAAGCTAAGGGTGAAGTTGGCTTTCTCTTAGCAGACAAACGTTACCCTGCTTATGTAAAGGCCTCTGAAGTGAATATAGGTTTTCTTAGAAAGGATGATGAAAATTGTTTAACTTTGGACTTCACAGTCATATAATTTTTCTGTAACTAACCTAGGATTCTATTTAGAAAAATCTTACTAAAATAATTATTTATTTAATTATTCATTAGCATGTCTCTTAAATATCAACTCAATGAATTACATGCTTATCGGTATTCTTATTACAAGGATAATAATCCAAAAATCTAAGTAAGTTTTTAATCAAAGAATGCAAAGCTTAAAAAAGAATTAGGTTATAATATTAATATCAAACATTTGCCATCAACTGCTGAAAATCAAGAAAATGATGACTTAAAGAAGTCTATCAATTAATTACCATCATCAATTGATTCATTAAAAAGTAATATACTAAGGAGAAAAACTTAAATAGATTGGTTATATTCAAAAAAAGTTGATTAGGAAAATATATTAATGTTGAATCGAGTATTTGTGCAAAACTTATTTTCCCAAGCATAACTTATTGAATTTGATGACAATTAATTGCTTTTTGAGATTGAAGAAACATAAAAATAATAATTAACTAATAGCAGACTTATTGTATTCAAGTTTCTGATCCAAAAATGTTTCCAAAGACTTAAGTTGCTTTAATTGGATGTTTTGATATAATGTTCAAAATGTAAACAAATACTTTAAGCTGCAACCAATATAATAAAAAAGACCAAATCACTTGCGATATTCATCAGTCACTGCAACTAAAATATAAGGATAGACTTTTTTCATAGTAAATGCACTAAATTTAATTAGATAATGATTAATTCCCCAAAAATTAAGAAAATTACACTTCTCACGTTGCTTTTGTCTCTAGGAGCTAAGAAAAAGTTGTAATTATTAGAGCCAAATGCGCTGTAATTTGTAAATGCGAAAATGAAAATGATTCAATATTAACTCTAGAGAATCCATTACAATTGAAAGACGGAATTTATACTCTCTTGGCAAACGAACCTTATCGGAAACTCTGCAGATATTGTTGTAGAGAAGTCATATTATAGTAGTGCGAACTTATGATATTGCCATGATTGATTTATTATTTTTATTATTCTTTATTTGGAGCCAAAATATTGTTTTAATATTCAAATTATGAAAAAGAACAAATAAGTATCTGCAAAAACTAAGTATCTCAAAAAGAAAAAGGAAATGCCGAGTGGTGTAGATGATTTAGCAACTCATGAGGAAAATGATATTGTTAAATTTGCCCAAACTAAATAATAGCAGAGCAATAAATTCCAATAAATCTAATTAAAACCTACAGATCTAAGTTCGAGTGATGAGGAAGTTGAGGTTTAAAACAAAGATGATCCTGATGAGCAATCTCGATTTGTGCTGGGTCTTATATAAAAAAATGTATTAATTTAAGTAATATGGTTAGAGAGTTAATGAAAAAAATTCATTTGACATACCTATGATTAATCTTAGGGATTTAAATGCCTTCAAATGTATTATTATTTATTATATCTGTAGAAATTGAATAAGGTGATGCTTGGAAACATATATCAGCATCCTTGGATGCAGGTTCAAAAATATATGGTTTTAGAGTAGATCTAGTGCATTAAAATACATTTAAAGTCTTGGGTGGATTACATAGAACTTAGATTCCTGATAAATAAAATTAGGAAGTTGAATAAGAATTTGAATAAGAGTAATTAAGAAAAAAAAAATTACACAATACGGGGGGCGAAAATACTTTAGAAAAGAATTAAGCCAACATTGATACCAATAAATATGATTTAGAATTTGAGATTGATCCTTTGTTTTAATAAACTTCTGCTAAATTTGATGAAGCTGGAGCTAAGGGACTTTTGATGAATAATTTAACAATCAATGAAAACCTAATGCTTGCTTTAGATTCTGAAGTTCTACCTATAAAACCAATTCAAAGTACTATAAACATTGAAAGTAAGTTTTATATATAAATTAGATTATAAATCTATGCTCAAAAACCTTAATAACTTAAGACTATGTCCTGAATTAACTGAATTTAGGGAAAATATCTTTTAGAAAGGGCAAAGGTTGGTTGATCTTAAATAAGAGAAATCTTTTATGGCTGTTATGAATCCTGTAGGAATGAATATGGATTTTTAAGTGGAAGACCAATAATACGAGAACTTGCCAGAAGAGATGAATCTAGACGATCAAGTTTCCATTAATTCTGGAAATTAAAATTGCTAATCTTTATTCTAATAGTAAGGTCAATAATTTTAATAAAATAAATTTAACATTTTAAATTTTGAATAGGCAGCAGCCAACATTGGAACTGGAAAAGTATTTGAAAATGAAAAGGAATAAGTTGCTTGGATGGCGCTTGATATGAATTTACAACCTAAGAAAAAAGTAACTTGCCTTTAGGTTGACAAAACCAAGAAAAGTAAATCAAAAAAAAAGAATGGCTTAAATTTTGCATTTGGAGATGATGATGATGAAGAAGAAGAACTTGATCGAAAAACAATTATGCAACCAAAAGAGAAGGAGAATTATTGTATTAATAAGGATCCATTAAAACAATTAAATTTGTTACCTAAATCTTATTAAATAGATAGATAGGAGTAATATATTTATAGTTAATTTAGTTTATATTAGCCATTTTAAATTGCAAAAATACCGCAATGGGGAGAAGAGATAATAGAAGAAGGATAATTATAAAATGATAATTACGAATATGGTGGAGTTGATGATGAACTCCCATAATAGTTACAATAAAATATGGGAATAGGAACTTCTTTGCGAAATAATCCGACCGGAAGACTCAACATACCTATCAAAGAACTCAAAAGCCAAGTCTGGTCAACATTATCAAAAAAAATACCAGTAATTAAATAATGTAACATTAGTTATCAACAGAAAATCAAGGATTAGAGTTCAATTAGATTAATTAAATTTTACCTGAAATCTTGAAAATGCCTACAAATAAAGGAAGGGTTTCCATATAAACTTGCTTTGTGACTATGTTACATTTAGCAAACGAATAAGGCTTAAAATTCATTTAAAACAATGATGAGAATGATTTTGTTATTTAGCGCGAAGCTACAAAATGAAAATGAATAATTATTTTTAAGAATAAAGCATTTATTCTATCTACGTAGGTTTATTAGATATTTTTAAAGTTATATCAAATTAATACATGTAAAAATAAAATTAAGAGTTTGGGAGACCATCAACTAATTGATTTTTTGAAGCGTCTACAATATGGTAAGTACAATATACATACGCATTCACTGCTGCTTATTTTAAAAGCATATATTAACGTTCAATTCCTTCATCTGCTTCATTCATTTTAGAAAATTCTTTTATAGTTTCTTCCTCTTTTTTATAAGATAATTTTTATTAAGAGTTTGAATTTCTGGCAATTGTTTTTTGTTACTATCCTGTAATTTATAATATATATGAATTAGGAGTAATTGATAATTTTTTTTCACACCTTTTTTATTCAGGGGTTAAACATAGGTTTTATTTACTGTTATTAACCCTTGAGTTAGAATTGAAAGAAATTTTACTTAACCTACTTAACATACTAGGCTAAATTCTTAACATTATGCTGCCATTATTAAAATCTATTTCTGAGTGAGAATCATTATAGCTACTAACAGATTACATTCTATTTTTTCGCCTATTAATATCAGGGGCCAAACTTGATTTTCGTTATTCTGGAGTTTTAAGTAGGGAATTCATTTCTAGTTGCTCTTGCGAATAATTTAATAAAGACCCTCCAATATTATTTGAAGAAATTTCATCTTTTGATTTTTTAAATCTAAAATACTCCTAAATGTATACAATGATATTTTGTTATTAATTAAATTACTATTATTCGAACTACTTGGCATATGGCCTTCAATTGAATACTTTTTCTTATCATCTATTCTTTCTGATTTTGGCCCTAAATCCCAATCAAAAATAAGATCTTTTTATTAGTAATTGTGTTCTTATGATATTTTCTTAAATAAGGATTGACAATATTTATAATTAGGTTCTGCTTTAAAGGGCAAACCCTTTGTATAATCTAAAAATCTTCCAAATTCAATTGGAATTCCTTTGCATAACTCATTTATGTCAATTTTCATTTTCATTTGACCAACTTATCTCATTTTGTCTTCTTCATCAATAAATTACAAGTTTTACCAAGGCAGTTATCCTAAAATTATTCACATTTATTAAACCTTTTAATAAAAATATAAGCATGTAACCTAATGATTCCAAATCGTCTCTTCGACTTAATGAAAATCCTTTATGTGCATTGATACTTGCATATCGGGTAGTTCCAATAAATGGTTAATTCTCTCGAAATGATCTGAAGTATTTAGGAAGTTTACATATGCGAATCATTTTCATCCTTATAAAACTTGCTTATACCAAAATCTACTATATAAAGCAGATTCTCTTCATCTTCTTTGCCAACAAGTACATTTTCTGGTTTAATGTCTCTATGTAGCACTTTACTAAAAATAAAGCAATTCTAATCTACTTTTTGTGTATGCTCTCAATGATGTTAATCATTTGGTCAGCAATAATTAGCACACATTTTAGAGAAAATTTTCGAAAAGTTTTCATAAAATGTGTTAGGTCTCTGCCCAAATATTAAATAACTAAAACATTTGAATCTCCATCTTTTCCTGCCCAATGTAATTTTGGTATTTAAGGTGTTTATTATAATCTTTTTAAAATTTCTGCCTTAATATTACTTAACCGATTATTACCTCTCTTTCTAAACTTGTATCTTCTTTGTTGCCTTTGTCGATCTTAATTGCAACAATTGCTCTTGTATTAATATCCTATCCACAATAAACTACTCCAAATGATCCAGCTGAAACTCTCTTCTTAGTGATATATGTGTTGTTGATTAGTCTTTAAAGTTGTTGATTTTGAATGCTCATAAATTCTAAACAACTCTGATAATAATAAAAATAATAAAAACTTTGAGAGAATTAATTATTACAATCCTAATGACTCAGTAATTATATTATTAAATAAAAAATGGTAAAGCTTGTGTCTTATGAAAGGTTTGCAAACAATTTCAATTTTAGGATGATCTCAAAAATAATTAAATTGAAGTAAAAATGCAAATCAATTATTATATGAAAAGAACATGCTTATAATGTTATCTACAATTTGTTCACAATTAATAAGATTTATTAAATAATGAAGGAGTAATTATGCTATACTTATAGATTATATTCAAAATTGTAATCTATGGGAATAACCAAATCAAATTTCATATATTTCATTGAAAAAGAATTTTTAGAATTATATTTGAAATAAATTTATTGTAATTCATAAAAAGTATTTTTGTCGTGTAAATTTGATAAACTTTTTATTAGATTTTTCAATATTTAATCAAATTTGTCATGCATGTAGAAATTAGAATAGTAGAAAGACTTCTGATTGATTGAGAATTAAACTGAGGGGTATGAATTGATTAACTTACATGATATATTTTTAAACCTTATTATTAAATAAATAATTGCAGAATAATTTGTAGTAAAGAGATGATTAATTATTGATAAATAATAATAAAATAATGGAGGAATAATTATACAAAATCGTCATAGTTGGGAATAGTGCTGTTGGTAAATCTTCATTGCTAATTCGTTTCTGTGATGATTAATTCAGAGATATGTATCTTAGTACAATTGGAGTTGATTTTCGTTTCAAATCTCTGAGGGTTAATGGATAGGGAGTTAAATTGTAAATATGGGATACAGCTGGTTAAGAAAGATTTAGAAATATTACTAACTCCTATTATAAAGGAGCATAAGGAATAGTGGTAGTTTATGACATCACAAGCCTTAAGTCTTTTGAGGATATCCGTAAATATTGGATGAATGAACTTAATCACTATGCAGATGAAAATGTTTTGTTGATGCTCTTAGGCAATAAAAGCGATTTAGCGACTGATGAGTCTAGACAAGTAACTACAGTTATGGCTGAAGAATTGGCCAAAGAATTCAATCTAAAATTCTTTGAAGTAAGTGCAAAAACAAGTGACTAAGTAATTATCATTATTATCGATTAGGTTGAAGCTGCTTTTCAAGCTTTTACTTAATAAATCTAAGAAACAGGAATTGCCGGAAAGGTAAGAAAACCACAACCCTAATAATTTTTACAAACTCCAGTGCCTTAAGAAGAAAAACCCAAAAAGTAGGATGGCTGTTGCTGATATTTATGTTATATTTTAAGACAATATTCCAATATATCTGGAGAATTATACCCTAAATCTATAGAATATTTTTAATTATAATAAATTTATCACTAAATTGCAAAATCAAGAAAAATTTTAATTCAATCTATTCGATGCACAAAATATTGTATTAATAAAACAAGAAAATTTTCTATAAGATAATTAAAAGCTATCATTATTACTCTTGATCTCGATTGATAATTTTATTAGAAATATAATAGGTTATTAAGGACTTCTATATTTTGGAATTGGTTCTTTCTTCATTAATGTGTTTATTGATAGTAATATTAATTAAGTAAACTTAAAATTCCTTTCTTTTATTAATTTATTAATATTGGCAAATGACTAATTGATATTAATCTTAGATTTTATTGATATTATTGTTATCTTGACTATACTTAACAGATGCTTCAAATTAATCAAACTGATTTGAGAAGTTTCTTGATTAAAATAAGATTTCAAAATCAATCTTATCATTTTATAGGTTGGATGATTATTTTTAAAATGAAAAAATAATTTACTAAATTGGAATAATTTAATTAGAGATTTAAATATCATCAGTAAGAGATAGATTAGCAAAGAATAACCTTTGATATGTAAATGTGATTGTCAACTGTTAATGATCCTTTAGGTTATAGTAATGTCCAATAATATACAATAATGATTAGTGCTATACATTTAAATATCAAAGTCTTTTATCTTAATCAACTCTTAATAATATTTTATAGTAGTGTCTTTTTATTCCTTGTATTAAGTATCTTAAAACAACAAGATTTTGGCTTTGCGTTTTTAATGATTAATAAAAACTCAATTAGAGAGTATTATAAATTATAAATGATTTCTTATACACTAAATTAATGTGCATCTTTCCAGATTAGTGAAAATAAGTTTGAAGAAGTCACCAGAGAAACAAAAACCTCATGTCATAAAAAGCGATAAGTAGAATGCTATTAATAAAAATTAACAAGTGAATGTGCATAAGAGCAAGAAGGATTTATTGGAAGAAAGGTATATATCATCTTTTTTAAATCATAGATGAAACAGCAATTTAAAAGAAAGAATGATGAATTCGATTCAATCACTTGTATAAGAAATATAATAAGCTTATCTCTAAGTGTTCTTGAAGAGGAACATCACATTAATTATGAATAACAGAATCCAAAGGAGTTTTATTCTCAATAAGATTTATCATTCAAAATTGTAGACTATGGTGATATCGAAGGCTTTTAGTTGCCACCAACTGCTCAATTATTTTAACAACAAAATAAGAAGCCCCAAAAAAGAACAAAGAGCAAGAAAATTAAGGTTGATTCCTAACAAAAAGCCCAAAAAAACTAAACTTTAACATAAAAATAACATCCATAACATCCTTAGATAGAATAATAGATAAAGGATAAATAATATAATTAGGCTTCTTCTCAAAATTCTCATAAATTAAAAGAGTAAACAACTTCATAAAGGTAATAAGTGTTGAAGAGCTTGAATTAAATAGAGAATATACAGAAATGCAAAAATGAGTCTAGCGATTTTGATGCCCAGTTTAGTCATGTAATTTAAAAACATTATATAGATTGGTGCTGTAAGTACAACAACAGGGAATTCCTAATCAGAGTCAGATGACTGTTTATTATAATAAGATGAGAAAGATTTGAAAGACACAAGTTTACAAAAATAGAGTAACAAGGAGAAATATAAAAAGAAAAATTATAATAATATAGAAAAAGTTGGAAAAAAATAATATCCAAATTCTCCACTCACTACACCTATAAAACGTAAATAATTAAATTTAAACAAATCCAAACGACAAGACATAGATGAGTTTTTAAATAACATAAAAATTAAAAGTTTTTAAAACAAAATAAGAAAACGAATATGTTTTAATAGATTGCATTATATTATATCAACAAATTCAGACCTTAATATTTATGCTTATGGATCCTTCGAAACTGGACTTGATTTAGATGTAAGTGATGTGGATATAGGAATTTGGGGAACATAAACATAGAGTTACAATTAGATTGTAAACTTTTTACAGTAAATTAACTCACTCTTAAAATAGACACCATTTTTAGTCTAATCAAAGTATGATTATCTCAAAATTTTAGGTTGATTCAAAGTCATATGCCAATATTAAAATTAGAATTGAATCCAAAAACTGAGTTTTACAATGATAAAGCATACATTTAACAAAATTGGCAAAGTTTTCATTTAGATTAATAAGACCCTGGTATGTTTAGTGTATTATCTTAGGTAAAATCATTCAGGTTGATTTAACATGGATTTACTAATGGAACAATATTTATAATAACCCTCATTTAGGTTTTGCTTCAACAACAATTATCAAAGATTGGGTGAATCGATTTTATTGGTATAGAGAGACAATCCTAATTTTGAAGTTTTTACTTAAATCCAAAAATCTTAATGATGCACATACAGGTATCACTTATCACGATGAATATTGTAGGAGGAATATCTTCATTTTGTTTGTCGATAATGTTGACTGCTATCTATATGTGCAAGCATTACACTCAAAATGATAAAAAATTAATCCTTCTTGACTTTTTAAAAAAGTATGCAACTTAATTTGATCCCTTGAAAGAGGGCATTTACATAGATGGTTATGGGTACAAAAATTATCTAGTCTAGGTAATAAAACCCATTTATCTACTTGGATGAATGTCCACCTTACAATCCTCTCACAATATACTCACCAATTAATTACTAAATAATATCTCATAAAGCAATTAGATTTCCTGAAATTTAGGAAGCATTCAGAAGGCTCTATGAACATTTGATGAAATCTAATAAAATTCAAGAATTCTTTGATATTCCCTAAGTGAATTAATAATTATTTATTTGATTATATTATGACTTCTAAAATTTGTATAATTTAAATAAGTACTCATCCAATTGTTTATTTGTTTTTCAAAGGCAACACTAGTAATAAGGCCAACAAATTTATATGTATGACCTAAGAATTCTTAAGTGAATTTAGCATCTCTAGGGTAAAAATTTTCAATTAATTCAAATTTCGTCGGGTTAAGTTGTCCATATTGCATAGAAGATGTTTCATAAATTGGCGATCCTAATTATATAATCTAATTGAATTACCAACATTAATTCCTTAAGCTGTATTTTTATACTTGATTTTTCTCACTGGAAATGGCTTTTGAGGTATCTTATTTTCTATTTTTCTTATTCTCTTCCTCTGTTTTTATTTTTATTGCTCTAAACCAAATTATTGCGCCAATAATTTATTCTAAATTAATTTTCTGCTCTTCTTAAGCCATTTATTCATAATCAAATTTGAGAATACTTGCATGGTTCTAACTATTTTAGCATATGTAGGAACTGGAGTTTCGTTTAATTTTACTTGTTGTTTCCCTTCATGCAACAACCAACCATTTCCATTTTGAGAATTGCACGTATTATAATAGCTGATTTTGATCTAGGATGCTTTAGTAAAGTCACTTCAATTTTTAATATATATTAACCTAAGTGAAATATTAAAACATCTCATCTGTACATAAAATATTAATAAAAATGCAAAAAAAATTTAACTAGTTTGGTATTGAGAGTAAGGATAGTACAATGAATCTTTTTCGAGTTAGACCTTAATACCTAACTCATGTGTCTCCAGTAGCCGTTGAAGCAGCTCATCAAAATTTCTTTAGTGGATCAAAGGAACTTTTAGATAAAATCCCAGATCATGAAAAGGGGCCAAGATAAGATTCAAAAGGGAATATCGTTAAATATACAGTTGTTGGGAGTGTGTAATAATTCTTGGCTGAAAAATCAAGAAGCTAATCGTAAAATAGAAAACCTGCCTAAATAAGAATTACTGCAAATTCGCAAGCTACACCTTCTACCCAATAACAAAATGATCAAACAGAAAGAGTAATTTTCAGCTCTAAAGGTATTTGTTCTTACATACTTAGCTATAGAATAATCGAGTAAGGATATTTAATAAAAAAAAACAAAAGTTAAAACTAGAGACTTTTAAGAAGTAATCTTGAATGAGGATCAAGTTTAAGATCACATTTATTAGATCTAGCAGAGGATTGAGAGAAATAGGATGGAGGTATTTAGTATTTAATATATAACAATAAAGAACGAAAAAAAAACTAGATAATTGCAAAGTAGAATGTCCAAAGGAGAATCTTTAAAAATGAGCAAATGTGAAAGAGTGATTGAAACATTTGATTAGGTTTAACAGGATTGGGACTTGACAAAAATAAAAATTGAATCAAAAATATAAAGATTACCAGGTCAATCTCTTCTGGATCGAATTGAATAGCATAGGATGAAGGAAGAAATGAAAAGAATACTTGATGCTTTGAAACCAATTGAAGAAAAATAGGGCAATGAATTTTGGGTATATTTTAATCAATAAAAATGAATAGCGTCTCGGATTAAGAAAAAATGACTCGAATATAAAACCTAAGACCTTTGTGGAATTATTTGAAAAAAACTATTAGATCTATGGCAATCCTAAATCTCCCTAAATAGAAATTGTTAGAAGATCTTCTTTAAGTTAGCTTGATTTTAAGCCATTTAGCACATTCACCTCTCAATCTGCTCTAAATAAAAAGCTTTCTGAAAATTCTGATCTTATTATGAAATTAATACCAACCGTTCCTGACGATATTGGAAATCTCGAAGTTGTTGGAAAAAATGTACTTGAATAAGAGATTGTTTAATTACGATCTCAATCTCATAAAAATTCGTTCCCTTACGTAAGGTTTAGCAGCAATTCTAATTACGAGAAATACATCATGAAAGTTCCAACAAAACCAGAAACATAATAAGATGAAGAAATCATAGAAGAAAATTATGATAGAAAGCGTCTAATGTCATAAGGAAAACTCTCTGAGGTCAAAGGGTATTTCTGATATTTATAAATAAAATATTCATTTAATTTCTCATATATGAATTTATGGAATTTCAAAAAAAATTAGTATTGAAGAATGTTGGATACATATGATTATTAATTACTCTTATGATGTTTTACATTGGTAAAACTAAAACTTTGAAAATTCTTTTATGCAGAAACAATTAATATTAAGCGTGACTGTCTAAGATAACTACTCAAAGTGAAATAGTTTGATAAATTCAAAGAGATTAAGATTTAACATTAGAATATTTTGATATTCATACAAAAAAAGATATGAAAAAATAATGTTTCCCTTACAACAATTAAATGTAGCCTAAAATATCTTAAGAAATAAACACCTTATAATTAGAAGTTGTGTAAAATTTCAAATTTTACATTTAAGTAACAATCTTAACAATAAATTATTATTTTATTTTTTTGTCTCCCATTTCTTTGCTTAATTTCAAGACATGTTGTTTATTTTAAAATGCGTTTTAAGATCCACAATTAGTAATTTGAAAATATTTTTGTTAAAAGTGTCTGTTATACTACTCTATGCCCTAATTTAAGGAGAGAGTAGACGAATTTCATAAAACAATTTGTATCAAAATTATGTTTGATTTTATTTACGGAGTTGATAAATTCTATATCAATTTTATTTAAAATACAAATGTATAATTAAGTAATATATAAATAATCGCTATCAATAATAGCAAAATATGTACTTTCCAAATTTAATTTTATAAATAGTCTTTATATACAAGTACTCAAATTTAGTGCCTCAATAAAATATAAAAGGCAATGAGTTTAGATCTCGATCAAGTTACATTTTCAGTTATTTCAAGGTAAAATATTCTTTATATACAATGTAACATTTTTATTTATAAAATATTTTTACTGTATTATGCTAGATTAATTATCAGAAATAACACTCAGTGAATCTTCTACATTTGAAACTCAAAGATTACCTCCAAGATTATAAACCACTGACAAAAAGGGAAGTGGAAGATTTACTTTTCTCAAATCTGAGTCTGAAGACAAATAAACTTAAGCTCAAAATAATCGAGACAGAATCAAATAGCAATTAAGAGGTATATAGATGTAATTACTTTACAAGGAAGGATTCAGGTAATAATAAAGAAACCTTTAAATGATGAAAAGGATTTGCAGGAAGAACTACAGGAGTTAGGGTGTAAACTGGATGTAGAAATCAATGAATTTGATTCTGAATACATATGTCCAAACTTAAAAAAGTTTGAGGAGGAATATGAAATGATGGAAATATTGGGAGAAGGCTGTCTAGGATTGGTTAAAAGGATTGTACACAAATAATCATAAATTGAGTATGCAGTGAAGATAGTTTAAACATAAGATGATGAAATTATAAGAAATGTAAGACAACATATTAAAGGTAGATGATTCTTGAGTTTAAGTCAATGTTTAAGTTGTAACATGAAAATATTGTGAAAGTTCATAAATTATATGTTGATTTCAATAATGGGTTTTAATCTGAAAGCAAAGCTTATGTGGTTATGGAATTGATTAAGGGAAAGGAGATGTTTGAGGTGATAAATGAATTAGGACATTACAGCGAAACAGATGCTAAGGAATTATTTAAGTAATTACTGAGTGCAATTGAATACATGCATCGAAATGGTATATGTCACAGAGACTTGAAACCCAATAATATTTTGTGTGTTGAAAGTATTTATTTTATTTCAATAGACAAAAATTAGATCAAGGTTACTGACTTTAATGTAAGTAAATTTAGTGATGCTTATAAAGAATTTGGAGATCTTAAGGATAGAGAGAAGATTGAAATGTGGACATATACAGGAACAGTAGCATTTTCGGCTCCTGAAATATTTTCTGGAGAAGGTTATAAGTAATTAATTATTCTATACTTAAGCCAAATGGTTGACATGTGGAGTGCAGGCTGTATTTTATATTCGATGTTGTCTGGATAATTGCCTTTCCTCTCTGATTAGTAACATTTCAGACTTATTTGATAGCTTGAATGATTTGATCGAGAAAATTAAGGAGGCAGCAATTGAGTTTCCAAAAGATTTGTTTGAGTAAGTTTCTGAAGAAGCCAAAGATCTAATTGTATAATTATTGCAGAAAGATTGGGCATTTAGACCTCATCCTGATGCAGCTCTAAAACATTAATGGTTTTAAATTCTAGATGATGATTAAGTCAGAAAGAAATCACTAAGAAAACTAGCAATCAGAAAAAACATGCCTCGACTATCCTCCAAATATTCTAAAAATAGTCATAAGTAACGTAATATACTTTTGAAATCCTCGTAAACTATCACAATCAAAAATAATCGCTCAGTTGATTCAAAATGCGATGTTTAACAAACTGATTTAGCTAATAGCTTTCTGAAAATTCCAACAAAAAAAAGCATTTTCTTTTCGACCAATTTAGGAGAAAGTTAAGGAATTAACCAAAACTCTCCTCAAGATTAAGAGTAGTCTCCATCTTTTATTGACTAAGCAAACTCATCAAAATTAAGCGAAGACATAGGCGAATTTGATTAATGTGTTCCTGATCGATTTATTAATTTCAACAAACCATATAATGTTGATGACGAAGTCTAAGAATGAATATAATGATTATAATTTATTATAAATGATTTAGTTTCAATTTATGATTTTTCTTCATAATTATTGCTTTGACATTAAATTTATCATTTTTTTAAATTTATTTATTATTTTATAATGTATTTTCTCTAATTATATAAGCCAACTAATGAATTAACTTAAGATTGTAATTCATTAATATATGATAGTGCAATCATTATCATAAATAAGATCTTAAATAAATAAGTATATACTGGAATATGAGATTTGAAAAATAATGATAAATCTATCAGAATCCTTCCTATTCTTGTAACAAAAAGCCTATTTAGAAATGATAATATTACCGTTGGCATCATTTAAGAGATTGTGAAGATGTATATGATGAAGGGATCTCATCAAATGAGCAATATAAGGACCATTTTTAAAGATTTAGAAAATTATATCCAGTAATAACCGAGAATGTGTCGATAGTTGATTTGAATGATGTAACAAGGTCTGATTCCATTGAATTCTAAAATTTTGTAATATAATAAAAAATTAAAGGGGTAGATCAACACCATTTATTACATGGATATTTGGAATTCAGATATAAATAATAATAATTAGTTGAATATTAAATTACTTTTTAGATTTAAAATCACTAAATATAAACAAAAGAATAAAAATTGAAGATGAAATGTTTTTTGATTTATATATTAGTTATCACACTTAACCCATTGCTATCCCGTATCCAAATTTATAGCTGTCCTTATTATAATCTGCGATTGCACACAACTTCAGTTAATAAGCAAATCCCTAAAGTGTTAATGCAGAACTGAATTTCTATTTTGAATTCAGGGTCACTATAACTTCTGAAGTGGCAAACTTTTGTCTATAACCCTTTCATTATTATATATTCTATTACAAGTATAGCCCTTGATTCTCCAGTTTAATTTGAATATTCTAATTCTGACATGAAATATGATTTATCCAATAACTATTTGTCGATATAATTTATTTACTCTATGATTATAAGCTAGGATTAATTAATCAGCAGCCCCAACATATTGAGCATAAATATTCTAATTCTTATTGATACCAAACTTCATAGCATAGCTCATTAATGAGAGATTTCTTTCAGTCTTGAAATTATTTTCTAAATGGATACCAACGTCATCATTTCATATCCTAAAACAAGTCGGTTTCCAATTGTTTACATCATATTGAAACTATAGAGTCCTGTGCCGATTTTAATTGAATGAACGTAATCCTCGCCTGTTATATCGCAATCTAAATGCATTTAAGCATTCAAAGGATCTGAATTTAAATAAAATGCACTAAATCTTTAGGTTTTTATAGATATTAATACATACCTGAAGTTGAACATTTCATTTAACTTCTTGATAATAGCAGCTTCTAATTTGCCGGTTGAATCCCACCTTCCTGTCATGATATATGTAGGCTGATCAAAAGGGGTTCTAAGTGAGCCTCCCAAATATTAAGCAGCCAAAGTATAACTCGGAACAGGTGGTTGTTTCATGGGATTGGGATTTGGAGCTTTGCCTTTACTCTAATGATCTAAAATGTTAGCATACTGAGGGTGGTATCAACCAAGAATGGGCCAGATGAAAATTATTAGACAATCCTCCTGCAACTTCAAATTTAAAGCCTTTAATGTGTTCTACTTTCTTAGTAACAGCTCTAACGTTGTTCAATAAGCCATCAAACAGAGGTGGTCTTCTAGGGTAACGATTTCTGAATTAAGGTGGCAATCCCATTTCTTCATCGTCATTTATTTTGAGATGTGGATCTTATTATGCAAATGCTGGATTATCCATGTCGACTTATTCCTTATCGATGGCTGCCATTATTAATTTTTAATTAATTTATTATGAATTAAGATGATCACAATTCCAATGAACACAAGGTTGAAAAGTAACTCCACTATTATGATTAAGAATGGCCACAACAACCACCCTCCTTATCTCCAAGATTCACTCCTTAACAATGTTATCTCTTTCCTCCTCAAAATATGTCAAACTTCAATCTTCATGCTGAGCCTGAATTTTAAGATAAAAACAAACCCAAATACCCGTTTCGAAAATTATCAGCAGGAGATGCTCCTGATGAAGAGGATCAATTTCGACAGCCTTACAATCATTACTATTAATAGCTGCCCCCATAAATGAAATATCCTCAAAATACCCCTTATATGCATATGAAATATCCTGTGCCCTATCCTCACCCCTGGTATAGACATCCATATCCTCCTTTCTATTATCCACCTTTTGATTCATCGTAATACTAAAACACCCTATCCAAAGAACTTCAGTCCAAAGTCAACCAACTCGTTCAATTTTAGAAGGTCTCTCCCTTTCAATGTAATTGCAAGAAAAGCAAATGTCTAAAGTTGTATTGCGAATGCTTTGCTAATAATTGGGTTATCATTCATTTTATTCATAGGTCTGCTCTTAAAGCTGCAATTGTACTGAATGTAAAAATAGAATTGATAACCCTAATGAGAGATCAAAAGCCATTGAGGAAGCCTTACTAAGAAATCCCGAAGCCTTTTCTACAATCCTAACTAACAATGGCTAATAACCATAAATAATTCCAGGTATCTAATCACATTTCTACAAGAACCCAAATCATAAAAAGAATAAAGTAAAGAAACCAAGAAAGGATGCAATTGCAAGAAATCCGAATGCAAAAAGAAATATTGTGAATGCTATAGTATCAATTAAAAATGCACTGATTTATGCAAATGCGAAAATTGTTTAAACAAAGAGGAACCATAAGAACAAATACAACCCTAAAAATAAGAAAACGATCCTCCAGCGCAATAATAGTTACAAAAATAGGATGTCATGTCGAAAAAGGACTAAAAGTCAAAAAAAATAAAAAAAGAAGAAGTTTAAATTAAAAACAATACTAAAAATCAAAAAAGGTAAAGAAAGAATTGATTATTCTATTTATGTGTATATTATATGTATGATATTGTAAATTTCAAATAGATTCTTCCATATCAAATTAGCTATATTTCTTGGAAACATCAATTGATGAGTCCTTTGTACTTCTAAATTTGCTTTTTAAAACTTTCATAACCTTTTTCAATTGCTTAAAAATCGAAGCTAATGTAGTCAAATAGCATAATACTTTTTTTAAACTACTCGTCATTCTCTGGAATTTATTATTGCTATTAATTTTAGTGAAGTATTTTCAGACTAATAATCAATTCACCTATCCTTTGAATTACCTTTCTTGTGTACAGATAACGACAAATCAAAGCCAAAACTATTAGCAGAATTATGAATTTGCCATTTTCAATCCTATAAAATTCCAAGAAAAGCATATATAAATACATTAGTTTTCCCGGTTGAACTCTAAACAATTGGTTCTTTTTCATTGTCTTATCCAAATATAGGACTAAATAATTTGTTTAACTTACATTGCAAGTAGAGATATGACCAAAATCATTTGAATTTATTTCATAACTTTAATTTTAATATCAATAGTAAAGTATTTCATTTTGTATTCTATGTCATAATTAATATGAATTACAAAAATATAATATATACATTGTTAATCCTAACTGAATAATAAGAAGTTGAAATTATGATTTGAATTTTTACCAAATACAAAAATAAAATTTCGATCATATTACTGATTGTTGACTTCTGAAATAAGTTTTATGAATGGTCTAAAGGGAATACTTACAACAATGATTTTAAGTTGTTTTAATCTGATTAATAGATAACAATTAATTTTAATGAATAATTTATAATTGACTCCTGAAGAAGATCAATATTTTAGACAACTTTGGAGCACTCTTGATCCTTAAGTAAATTAAAGAAATAACTCTATAGGGTATTGGAAGTACTAATGCCAAAGACACAATTTTATTTTTCAAAAAAAGTTAATTGCCATCGGATAAACTAAAAGCTATTTGGTTAATGGCTGTTTCAAATAATGAAAACAAGTTGTACCATTAGGAATTTCTAACGATTATGAAATTGATAGCATATTGTTAAAACGGATTTGAATTGAATCCTTAACTATTAATGGAAAATAAATAAGTCCGTTTGCCAGTGATAGATGGATTTCCACATCCTTAATAAGTATTGTTATCCCCTTCCCTCGGGGCTTATCAACAACCAATTCCTCAACCTTCTCAAATACCAATTGCTCAACTATATCAAACAGCGCCTGTTATAAATTAACAATAATACAAACCCCCTTTAATGCAAATGGGGCAACAGGATAATTCAACTCAATTTGATATTACTAATGAACTTTATGAGAGATACAACTTACATTACTAATAACAAGATAAAAAGTAATAAGGCTACATTGAAGGTGAAGCTGCAAAGGCAATCTTTTTTAAATCTGAACTATCGAATGAAATACTAAAAGAATTGTGGGCACTTGTTGATACCAACTAAAAAGGATTCTTATTTAAGAATGAATACATCGTTGCTATTCATTTGATTGCTCTATGTAGGAAAAATATCCCTTTGCCTTAATACTTACCTGACTCGCTGTAAAGATTAATTGCACAAAGCTAACCTCAATAATCTATCATAATTAAAGATATCAAAGTACAATATGACAATCCATAAATCTCTCAATCAAATGATACTAGAGTATAATCAGGGTAGTAAGCTTAGTTCTAATAGAATGGTGAATTGCAGGCATTAACTATGCAATAATAATAACTGCAAAATCAATTAAACTAATTGGTTATGCAATTTTCAAGCAACTCTAATAATAATGCGTAAAAACAATTGATTTAACAGAAAGAGAAAGATATAGAATTTTTAATTTAACAAATGAATAAATTACAATTAATTTTTAATAGTTTGAAGGCACAAGAATAAGAACTACAGACAGAAATATAGAAATGTTTAACGAAACCCTAAATTTAAAAACCAATAGCCCAACAGCATCAATAGGTCAATTATACATAACCACCATATTAAATATAACATTAACCTCCCTAATAAAATGATTTTCTAAATGTAAACTACTCTCAAAATTTGAGTATCAACACCACTAACTACCCCTCTTTATCCGTTGATAATCCAAATCATTAAGTTAATTACTAGTTATAAGATGGATATGAAAACTATCAAAAATAGAATAGTGGAACCTAGGATATACCATGGTGAATAAAAATATAATATATGCATTTCACATCTATAAACATTCAAAATGGGATTATCATAAAATAAAAGTAGTTCTCTTGTTTTATTCTGAAATCATTTCTTCTGCCCGTAATGTTCCAACTATAGTTTCAAGCTAATATGCATCAAATTTGCTATAGTAGGTAATAATCTAAGTTTTATTACCCAAATTTTCAATGCTTTAAATCAATTATTTGTAAATAATTGAATGTTGAGGTAATTGATAAAAGACAATATTTTTCATTGATCTCAGTTAAATTATTTCAAAAAAGTATGCTCTTTCAGTCATCATGATATATTGGATTCTACCATCCTTAAATTTACTAATGATGCTTTGAACCTTACTCCTTTTTGTATATTCACTTACGCATTCACAATTACTATTGATTCTTTTGAAATGTCCCTTTAAGGTAACAAAATCAAAATATGATTAAACAAATATCACAGTTTTTTTAAACTATGAGCCTTTATTATTTTCAATGTCATTCCAAAGCTTTTTAAACTGATTGAATCTTTATTCTATTTATTATTCAGTATTGGAACAATCAATTTATCTAAATTCTTATTAAAAGTTGACAGACTTTTAGAATAATTAATTATAGTAAATCTTATTGCTAATACATCCCTTATAATTTGTAAAGTATTATTTTCTAAGGAAATTCAATTCCTAAAAGTAATGATCAGTATAAACAATGTTTTATCTATAAAACTTGGACAAATTCTCAAAACAGTAAGGTCTTATTGTACTCAATTCACTAGTTATGTTTTTATGATTAGGTAGCAAATTAGTTGCCTCTAAAATATCCTCTAAATAACTCCAATTCTACATATAAATAGAAGAAGCTCTATCGATTACCAATATTTCAATAGAAGACAGAAAGTGGGTTTCTCTATGCTTTTAATCCTATGTACCTATAATTAATCTCATTCCCAAGGTGGAAGTGACGATAATATCTGATTTATCAAAATTCGCATGCAATTTGACATATCCTTATCTTGAGAATTGAATACCGATTCTAAAATCATCCTCTTCAAGTCTCTCCTCATCACAGAATTCATTCTCATATCTTTCTTTATTAACAACTTCTTTATCAGTTTAAATTAATTAATTAATTATTGAGATTGCATCTCCTTTAAATGCTGTTAGGATTAGCACTTTGCATCTTGTAAACCCATATGATTCTTTTTCTTTATCTAAATGATTTGTAATATGCGTAATATATGTTTTTCTAAATTTTTCGGCATTCTATTCATCAGGATCTGTTTCAATATAATCAAAGTAACTATATATTAGATTAGACTGTAATAATTCTTTTTCATCTTCTGAGTCCTTCACTACAGGCAATACAAATTTATCATCTTTAATTAATTATTTTTAGGATAATGTTTCAATATTATAATCTTCATTTTTGCAATTCAAGTCGATTAAGGCTTTGTTTTTTAGTTATTTATTTAATTCATATTTTTTAAATTCTACTCCATTATTTAGAGTATGTACTAATTTTGTAGTTTTCTCTTTAAAAAAAGCATTTAATTATTCAGGTTATTCAATTTCGATATCACCGATACAAATTGTTTTTCTTAATTCTTGATGATCATATTCAAAATGGGAAAAGGGATTGTCATTAGGCAGTTTAACTACTTCATACTTTTTCATTTTTGCATACACAGACTTATTTTCTTATTTGATATTCAATCTAGCTGATTCTGAACTTCCGTAATTATCATCTGCTTGCTGTTGTTTCACATTAAGTTTTTTGAGTAGATTTTAATAATGGGAAGGTTTTTCGTTTGTATTTTTAAAATCAACCACATGTTCAAAAATTTAATCATCCTCATTTTGTTATTCTGATATTTCTTCATCATCAGTCATTTCTTCAACCTATTCTTGTTTCTAGATTTATTATGGTTTTTTTTTCCTAATTTGCTTAACAATTGGATCGCTGTCTTGATTTTTTTGTTTTTTATTTTTTTTCCCCATATAATGTACACAAATAAATAAAATTAAAATTAAAGTTATTCTTAGAAACTTAATTTTATGATTTCTAATTTTGAAATGAGAACGACTTACACTTAATCTAATACCTATGGGACATCAAATCATCCTTTAAGCTATTTGAATGTTTATTATATTCAATTATTTAAGTTTATTTATTTTAAAATTTAAATTCAAATGGAACACTAAAATTATTGTACATCAGAAAACGGAGTTAGAGTTTGTAATGTCAGTTCTACATTACCTAATTGTGCAGCTGATAACATTCTGATCTAAGAAAGAAAAGTATGATAATAAACTAAAATGTTAGTCATTATGGATGTCCTTAGCAGGATTGCCTTAATATATTACTCTAGATTTGTCTCAAGTTTAAGAAAGACCAAAATTTATCAAATGTTTCGGTTTCGATTGTTGGCATGATTATTAAAGCAATCCATCGGTAATTGAGTTGATGGTATCATTAAATGGCGAAAATTTTATCACTTGGACAACTTTGTATCCTGAATTGAAACAAGGAATATAATTGTTTTAAATCGATCCTTTAGGAACTAGATATCAATTTATTAAGATCATTATCAAGGAGACTTTTGGTGCTTCTAAAACTTATTTGAATTAAGTATATTTACTTGAAGAATATGCAATGATCAGTACAGAGAGTGTTACTGAATCTTAGCAATAGACTGAAAATAACAATAGTTAATATAAACATCAATTCGAAAAAGAAGAACTTGAACATCATGAAAGATCAGATAGAATGGATAGATTTGAAAGATTGGATAGAAATGATAGAAATGAAAGAAACGAAAGAAATGAAAGAAACGAAAGATAAGATGTTAAAATAAATGAATATCAGGATTTAGCATAAAAAATTCATAGTATGGGAAGAGAAGTTGCAAGTTTAAAATAGAGTCATTAATAAGGAAAGTCTAGTTAATCATAAACTAAGCAAGGGTTCCATAAAAGTAATATCACAGAAGATGTGCCAGATTCTTATTAAAGATTGACATCAACAGAAAGAATGGTTCTGGATATATAGAGCAAAAATTTGAATGAGATTAATATATTGAAAAAGGAAGTGTAAGATTGGAAGGATAAATGTGAACAATTGGAGAGTTAAGTTTAACGATTATATAAGATGGTTACTCAAATTAAGGATAAATAATAAGAATAGGAAGATTCAATCCATAAATATATTTAATAAAATTAAAGTGAAGTTAGTTTTGATGCCAATAAGAGATAAGTTTACAATACTGGTTAAATAACTCAACAATAAACTTAACAGCCTCAATAAGTAACTCCTTCTCAGTAGCCTTAACAATCATAACACCAAATGAACAAGTTTGAAGATGTAATTGATAAGAAGATAAGTGAATTATCAGGAAACTTCTAGGTCTTATTTCAATAATAAGAATCTAAGTTTAAAAATCAATAAAAAGAGTTGGTCAAGAGTTTCAAGGATTATGTGCAATAGGAATATACTTAAGAAAAGCATAAAGATTATGATAAAAAGAAGCCAGCTTCAAGGGGGAGATAGAAATAGAAATCAGCTTCAAAATCTTCTTCAGAAAAATCATCTCATAGTTCTTCAAGTAGTTCGATCATAAATTTCATTAAATCTAAGAAGGCTTAATCTAAATCAAGACAACAATCAAAGTCTCATCTGAAATCATTGCCTAGATCCAGATCTCCTGTTGATGACAAAGAAAACGATAGATATGAGAACAATAGACTATCTCCAAAACAAAGAAAGGTGGCAACATTGTTGGGCAAGTTGCAATAGAAGTTATAAAAAAGAGTAAATTTATATAAATTATAAAATAGGCTAAGAAAATAGAATAATTAAACTTATCTCAAAGAAAGACAAGGAAGAGAGGCAGCATACAGAATTCAATGGATTAGTCTAACTCATCTGATTATTGATATATAATTAATGTTATGCTTGATAAATTATTCTTATTATTCAAAGTCCTAATTCCTTAAAGTTTGGGTTCGGTCTGGAATATTCATTTGTTAAGAAGTATCTAGATATACATAATTAAGTTATTTACTCTGGGAAATACTTTTTGGCCAAACCATAGGATGCATTCATTCTTACACACAATTAAAAGTAATTTCTGGCATCAAGACATTCAGGCACAAAAGAATCTTCGAAAAGACCAAATTGATTCTTGCAATGTTGGGCCATTCTATCATATAGATGACAAGCCAACAATTGATTTGCCTATAATGTTGATTGAATGTGAAATTACTTTGTACTCAACAAACTCAAATTTCAGATTGTCCAATAATTTAACATGATTCTTTGTCAAAGTTTAGAGATTAATCATGTTTCTGAACATGAAATCTACAGAATATATATGATCTTACCTTCCTCCTCCCAAACTTCATTATAAATTGGCATTAATATTTATATTTAATCTCTATATATTTCTAACTACCTAATGATCACATGGAGTTCTAATATGAAAAACTTATTTATATAGATATATATATTAATCGTTCAAATTTATGGACCACCTCCTTAGTAAACTACTCCTTATGGTTAAACTGGTCCTTATTAAGCAATCTAGTTCTGAAGGGTCGCTCTGGAGATATTCAAATCTATCATCATATATCTGATTTGTCTCGCATATCTAATGAACATTCCATAGCAAACGACTACAATAATGAGAGAAATAATAAAGAATATCAATCTTTATGATTAACATTAATTTATACCCAACACCCCTTTGACTTTCCCTGCCATCTTCAGAACTATTATCATTATTGTCATCTTGAGTGTTGTCAAAAGTGGCAAAAATTATAATGGATCCAATGATTTCAAATATTAAAGCCAGGATCAATAGAACTTAATAATGTAATAACAGTCTTTCCACATATCTACTAATTGAGTAAATGCCGATGATGGCTCCGATAACAAAAAAGAAATCGCTTGAATTAATACAATTTCATTACGAGATAATATACATAACACCAGCCGACAAAGCTGCTCCTCCTTATGAAAAAGTTGCCACACAGCGAATAATCAAAAAGACCATTGCTAAAACACCAATACAGCAGTTGCATCCATAAAAACTATGATGTGTTAAATGGCTTACTATCTTGTATATGAGCGTAGCTCCATTTCCTTTGCAACTATGGGATTGATTGGTTGAACTGCAACAACAAGTCCAGTTTAAGGAACCAAGACCATTTGTTATTAATATCCATTTCCATACTAAATTCTTTGAGGATATTATGGGTATTGGGCATATATCTATTGGGGATATTGTACTTGAGATTAGGGGTAATATTGATATCTAAAATAGATTAAAAGAGTACTATTGTTGAATGGGTTATCCTACTACTGGTTATCCTTGCACTGGTTGTTATTGCAGGCCTTATTGAGATTGCAAAGGTTGTCCGTGGTCGGTTAAAAACTCAGCATTTATATTTGCTTGTTAGTATTGCATAAGAGATGATTTTAATATTATTTATATTAAGAATAATATTCTATCTAATTCAATTTGTTATTTATTGAAGAAGAGATTGCGACATGGGAATTTTTGAAACTACTTTATTATGAGGGAGTTATGTAGAATGACAAAATGGTTTATAAATCCAATACTTTATTACATCATTTATTATGGTTTCCTAATTATCTCTATTTAATTGATAATGCTTTGCAAATATTTAAAAATATTTTTGAAAATAATTATTTATATGTGTGATAAAAGAAAAAGGTTTAACTCCGCCTTGACTTTTGAAGAATTTGTTGATTAACATAATCAATTACCAGATACTCCTCAGCTTAAGTAATACTCATCTTTAATATTTAGACCAATTAAGCAGTCCACTCTCTTCATACCAGAATTAGATTTAGCCAATGATGTCTCTCAAAATTAGTTGAATATGCCTTTATAAACAATTTTGGAGGAAGAACCCACCAGTCCCAAAGAAATAATGAAAACTAAAAAGTCGATAAGAAAAAGATAAAGGTTCTTCAGTGAAAATTCTCAATACTCAGTAATTAATATATTGGAGAGAAAACTACAGAAAAAGAAAACTCTCATCCCTACTCCATAGAATTATGATTCCCTCTCTTAACCAATCATGATTTGATAATTGCGTTTATATTAATAATAATATAGAGTTAGATTTCATTTCTATTTCTTTTAAAAAATGTCATGATTCAACTTCGAAGGATTAAAAGCATTTTTTAATAATCCCATTCTATCAGAGAGACTGTCCATTAAGAACTCATCCTCAAAAACCCCAATGCATTCTCGTTTAGGCTGTTGGCCGGGAGATTGAGTAAAAATGTCTGACTTTTCCAAAATAGTTGGAAGCGTGAAGTCTTTGAAACTTTTTTATTTGAATAACTTCTCTTGCACCTTCATTTTGATGAACCATTCATGATTCATTGCCACATTGGGTTTGATTCGCTATTTTGGTTCAACTTATAGCATTTATTTCAATAAATCAATGGCATAGGAGGTGTTTCTGACTTGGGGAAATTCTATTTAGCCTGATTTATTGTCGTTCTAAGCCTTATAATAATCAATACATGTTCTTACGATTCACTAAATGGCATCACTTGATATATGAAGTAATAAAAAATAATTCCCACTGCATAAATGTCGACACTCTGATCGTAAGGCTTCCCATTCAATAACTCAGGCGATTAGTAACTAAGAATCTAAATTTCAATTAAATTTACCCCTCACTTCCTTTGATTCCCTTCACTTAACTTTCTATGAACTCAGATTAATTGAAATTGGCCAAACAGATGTCCACCAAATTGTCTGATTTCACATATATGTTCTCTAATTTTATGTCTCCATGAATAATTCCCAAAGAGTGAATGCAAGACAAAATTTCTAATAATTTATATATAATCCTTGCATATTGTGGTTCTTGACTATTTAAAATATCTTCAAATCGATACACCATTTCAGTGCCGAAATAGTTCTCGAAAACCAAAAATATCGTATATTGATCTTCATATACTTCCACCAAATTGATGATATTCTTATGTTTGATTCTTCTTAAGATATTAATTTCCTATTGTATTAATTTAGGATCGAATTTGTTATTTTTTTGAATGACCTTCACTGTATAATTAACATTGTTCGCAAAGCATCTCGCCTGATAAATCTGTGTCTGTGGATCTTGGTATCCCAATCTCTTATTCAATTTGTAGTCCTTACTAAAATTTAACTGAATCGTAAATCTTTTCAACATGTTAAACCAATTCTCCAAATCGGCACTTCTATTGAAAAAGATCTCTGTACTATTCTTCCCTTATACCAACTTTATTGTTTGAATATTTTTTCGTATTATTGTTTAAGTCAAATTACAAAACAATTAGTGAATTTGCAATCTTAATTAATTCTAACTATCTACCTATCAGCATATAATGAAACTTATTCCTCATGCAATTGTTGATCCTCACTTCTAATCCAAATAATCCCAGAATATATGAGATGTTGACTCAAAAGTGTCAGTTATAATTTCTCTAAAGGTTACCACAGAATAGGATTGAGATGCGCAGTTTATTACTTTTTTTGTTGTTGCATTGTGTATAACTAGTTTTTAATATTTTTGTGAGAGTATTATTAATGAAAAAAAATTAGTTTTCAATAAATCAATATATTAAAAGATATTATTAAATATACAAACGAATCAAAATCTAATACCATCCTTTACTCTTACATGTGAAACAAGACTGGAGCTATCAGTTAGAAGCATGATTCTCCTATTCTCAAATTTATAGCTTCAGAACTGATTTTACCGTCATCATCACTGTCGAGCTATGTAAAGATGTTTTTAATTTGCTCCAAATCTTATTTGTACTTTATTTTTGGTTGATCAGCATCAAAGATCTTTTTCCTTTCATTTGTGCATTAATAGTTATTTTACTTACTTACATAGTCATTTTACTTATTTCCCAATGTCTCTGATCTCTCCTTAGTTTATTAAGATGATTTTCCATATCTATAATTAGGAGCGATACCTCGTTTTCTTTCTATTTAGTTACAATTAAGAATTCCACTACCATATTATTAATGTTCCAATTTACTTTAATTGCTATTTTCAGTATTTAATTATTGTCTACCTTCTATTTTTTTTATTTGCAATTGATCAGAGTTATAGATAGTATTGAGAGTGAAGTTTGTATTAAATATTTGATTATTATTTTACTGTTAACACATCTTATTATTTTTGATCAATTCTAGAAAGTTTATTTTTTAACAATTTACAATCTTTGTTGTCCTTATTAGAAGATTGTTTTTCTTGGAATTCAGCTTACACCTTGATGTCCAGTGTATATCTATTAATTGATTATAAGTGGTTTTTAATTTCTGAAATAATGAATTGCCTTCCTGCTTCTTTAATTTGGTTTATTTCACAAAATGCAACTATTAGTAATTCTATATCATCATCTTCATATATATGTATAAAATTTGGAACATCATCAGTTTCCAATGTCACTACTGCTAATAATTTTGATGTCATTATATTATCAATTTATTTATTATATATAAATGTGTATTTTTTTTTCAATCTGATGAAAAACTTTCAGTTTTATTTTTCAAATTTTATGAAGTATTAAGTGGTAACTACAGAACTCAATCACTGATTTTTAAATTTAGATCCATTTTGGTTTATTTTTGTAACGAATTTATTTTACTTTCTTATACAAACTTATTAATTTGTAAATAAAACGAGTTTTATATACATTTGTCAAGTTGTAGTCAGAAATAATTGATATTCTTAATAACGATGGCTTATTATGGAAGAAAGTAGTTTTAATTACATTTATATATAGTATATTCCATAAAATGGCACTTTTAAAATTATAGGGGTTTTCTTCCTTTGATTTTGTATGGTACAAATGAATTATTATTGGGCGAACAATATTCATTATATTGCTGATTGTAGGAAGAATACCAAGGATTAGTTAATTTTTTATATTTTTTTATTATCTGATAATAATCACAATCATCAGATCAAAATTGCAAAATTGGGAACTTAGTGAAGAGAACTATAAAGATAGGTTTCTAAACTTACTTCACTTTTAAATGATTTAATGAGCCAATAGAGTCTTAAATCTTATTAATGGTTTTGGATCGTTAAAATCAATTTTCTCTGGAATCAAACAAAAACGATTGGAATTAGAACTATTAGTTTTTGAAACCTTTATTGTTTCAGGCGTCTCTATATTCATAACTGATTCTCTAATTATTAATTTATTTAATAATTCTCAAATACTCTCAGATATTTCCCTCTTTATTTTATCATTCAGAGTACTAATTAAATTGGTAATTGTTAAGCTTGATTTAGTTAATAATCTCAATTCATCAGCTTTCAAGACCTAAAATTTTGTATCATCAATAGTTCCATCGTAGGAACATTTCTATATTATAATTAAAAACGAGTTCCATTACATCCATTATTACGCTGAGTTAAAGAGAGTTTTTTCAATTTCAGCAAATAATGATGAAGTCTTAAATCATGCCATGCATGAAATTTTATATTATAAAATTTTTAAGTGAACGATCTGAACTCAACAAATTTTAGGTTTTCTATTTTTGCTATCATTGTTAATAGAAAACTCTTAAGTTTATATTAATAATGTAAAAACTAAAAAGAGATTATAGTCAGTTTGTTAGATTGCTACAATGGTTTTTGCAACAATTCCTCTAAGTTAAACAGAAACAGTAAGAAAAAGGACAAGACCATCCTATGGGAATTATGATTTTTATCAAAATTTTATAAGTTAGATAAGTAGCAGTTGTGCTTTATTACTTGGATCATTACTTGACTAAGAAAATGATATCTTTAAGATGGAAAGTATCAAAATCTTTGAAATTGTTAATATTGATTAAATTATGAATTCTACAATAATCACATGTAGTTATAATAAAATAAATAATTTGTTTCATAAACTAAGTTATAGCATAATAGAAAATAATCTAAAATTATTATTCTACTTTCGAATTTTGATTTTAATCTAATGCATTAGAATATACAATTGAAGATTGACTATGTTATTGCGCTTATGATATTTATCAAGAATGGAGATTGAAATTCAAAATATTTATTTTTTGTGTTAAAATGTTATTATTTTTTATAGCACTTTATTGTTATTTAATACAATTCATATTGAAACTATAAACACGCGTAAATTTAATAATAAAATCTATAAATATTTAGGAACAAAATGGTACTTATGTGTTGTAAATATTTAGCCATCCGCCTAAACCATGAAATTGAGAAGCTAAAACTATCAAGGAAACATTAACAAATAAGGAAAAGTACCCAAATCATTAATTGTAATGAAAACATCATATATGAATAGAAAAAAGAAGAAAACCTTCCTGTTGGACCAATTCTTTTGGGCGTATTCCTATTTGTAGTGGTTGGATCAGGTATATTAAGAAATTAAGATTTATAGCTTTATTCTAAATACTTAATGTAGCCTCAAGTGGATAAGAAATTTGATATATATAAAATGCTTGATCAATTTTTAATTTAAAAGATGCAAAAACTACAATCTAATGCAGTAATTACTAGTTTTCCATTATATTCATGAATTTTCATAGTTTTTGCTCTCATTTTCATCAACTTTTCCCATTTATCAAATCCTTTGTTTGTCACCCAGATGTCTAGTTATACAATAATAGCATACTTCCATTTTCACAACCCAAAATAATCATTTCATCAATAACACATGAATTCCAGGGATTGAGTCTATCTTCTGGAAATTTAATTTTCTTAGTTTGCCTAAAGTTCTAGAGATTCCAGAAAGTGATTTCTGTGCCAAACCCAATAATCTCATTATCAATGATATTCATAGCATATTAAGGTTCTTTGGTATTGATCTATTTGATGGGTTCACTCTTATCATATTTCCAGATAAAAATATAATTATTTCTTTATGATTTTTTGTTCTTATCCCACCAAAGACTGGAACAAAATTGCTATTTATCATTGATAATGCACAAGGGTCCATAAGTCTTGGCTTGTATTTCATATTTAATGAGTTATCCATTATCTAGTTTCCATCGATTTATATAATTAACGGGACTTAATTAATTAAAATTATTGGATGCGAATACAGAATTGGATTGTTTGCAATAATATAGTTTACTAGGTGTACTTTGTGATTCTTGGAACTCAAGTAAGTTGGCTACAAATTTTCCATTTACAAAATCAAATAATTTTAAGTTTCTCACATAAGCCAAGACAATTTAGGTTGAGTTAACTACAATAGAATCATAGACTCCATTTTTCATTTCAACAATTTATTAATGAACATATTTTTTGATTGGATCATAAATGATGAAGGGATGAAATTCTCCAGCTGCAATGCCTATAAATTTATCATTTAGCCAGGTGATGCTGTACAATCTTTTGAACTTAAAATTTGTTGGTATTTCAAAATTCTGTGTTAATTCTATGTTTTTGCTATTGAGATCAATCAAAGGCAATTATTAAATTAACGACTCATCCTTTTTAGAAAATAATATTCTTATCTTCTCGAATTTGTTCTTTGATTTTTGATCTTAGATTTCAAGAGTATCAGATTAATTTGGCTGAAATTGGTCTTGACATTTTTTGACCATATTGTACACATTGCACACTTCATTTAATTTCTCTTTGATCAATTGAATGTGATTCCGAGTTATATAAAAGTCCAATAACTGGGCGAAGTACTTATCGTCCTTGTTTTATAAAATCTCGATCATGCTGTGTATTTGCTTTTTGGGGGATTCAAAAATTAGTCTTTCATAAATGGAACCCAATTATTAAGTGAGACTGGAAATGGCATTGGGCAATTAATCAAATAAAATTTAAGAGAACTTCGTTAATAGTGGAAGTGTCTTGGAAATGAAATCTGACAATTCAACTTTTTAAACAAACTTGTGAGACTCTATACAATCAATGTCGTAACACAAGTCACAGACCTCCTTAATGTCAGATCTTTCGAGAAGGTAACCCACCTTTTAATGGCTGCAATTGTTTATCATAAATATTATAATAGTATTATTATTTTTCAATTAGCGCCCAAAATATGTGATAGTAAATGAGTAGTCGTTCTTTTTTTAACTAATCCCAATTGTTGATAATTGATTGAACTGAAGAAATAGAATTTGTACAAAATCATTATAGTGATCTATACGACTGCAACAAGTCCGACAATCATATATTTCTTTTCTTTGGGCAAATACTTTAATTCCTAATTGAAATTCGAAGTCAGAAATGAAGTCTGGGCAAACAAAACATAGACCAACAGCATCCATTGTATTGCCTTTTGATATTTAATTCATTAATTTACAGGATTGGGAATTGAATTGAGCAGTGAAATGGGAATCATGACTACGGCTGAATAGCCATAGATAGTAAAGCAATGCAAAAGAGTGAGACGATCTTGTGACACACATTTAAGTGCCACTCTGTATATCATGGGGACGATGAGAGTTTTGAGATACATGAATATGGTAAGGATGGGTACGATTTGAAATTGATATTCGAAATGCTCCCCTGGTTGTAATTGCATGTATTTGATGATATTGACAGACAATGCTGTGGTGAAGATTAACGTATTTAAAATCCAGAATGGTCCATACAATTCTGGTATTCCTCCACCGATGTCGAAAAAGGTTCCGGAGAAGGGGTTGAATGCATTGACAACCTTGGCAATGACCAAATCGGTTGTGACATCGAAATATTCACGGTAATACCTTAATATATATATGCAAGATGGGCTTACTCTATAGTGAATAAATTGCAGAATCTCTGATAGCAGGTCTGATCGTCTGGGTCTTCCATCTTCATCTGTCGAATTCTATTCTGAACTTAGGAATCTGTCATTTGGAGGGAGGGTTGGAGGATTGAGACATCCTGATTTAAGTTATCTAACATATAATTTAATTTATTAAGTTATGAGAGCAGTATATTATAATTTCTATCAAATCGAAAATTGACATTATGTATGATTAAATTTATTTTTATTTAAAGAGAAAATGTACTATCCTTATGCAATTCAAGAATCGGAGGAGAACGGTTCTGACTATGTTTCGGCTTAGGATTTGGAATAATCAGAAAGAATTGCCAATACCTCTCAAAGAAGTCTTTCTGATTATTAAGTTCGATAGGGCATGTTTGAGGATTCAGCTGATTCATATTCTGATTACGAGGACTAATACCAAGATGTATAGTTAATAGATCAAAGCAGAATAGTAAATTTGTAAGAGGTCAAAGTATTTTTGGATGAAGTTATTTGTCCAATATGTTTTCATATAATCATTGATCCCAAGATTTGCAAAGAATGTGATCAAGCCTTTTGTAGCATTTGCATAGAGAGATGGTACTTTAATATTGAGAAATGTTTTAGGTTCCAAAAAAGTGTAAATCAATAATGTCCATGTTGTCGAAAGGGAGTTAATAAAAGGAACGAGTGTATGTATGGGAAAGTGCCAAAGGTAATGCTCAATTTGTTAAGTAAATTGATGTTAACTTGCAGATATAGCGTATATATTTATTTAAAAATAAGTCAGAAGGATGTGAGGAAATTATATCTTATGACTTTCGTGAAAAGCATGAGAATCAGTATTGTTAATACTAGGAATAGAGTTGTGAGAATGCCGGTTGTTATGAGACTATGTTTCGTAAAGATTTTGAAGATCATCAATTAGAATGTAGATATGGCATAGTTTAATGTAAATATTGTTCAGAGGATAAGCTTAGAATGGATATTGAATTGCATGTATGAATTGAAATTTAATTTAGTTACAAGAATGTAATTGTAGACCAATATTATGTGAATGGTGTCAAGAAAAGTTTTAACACGTAGAAATTGATGAACATTTTAAGCAATGCGAATTTAAGGACATTATTTGTGAATATTGTAAGAGAGTATACAAATAATATGACATGGAATAACATACTCCCATTAATTGTCTGAAAAGTCTTTATAGAAGTTCTCTTGAATTAAGTTAGCAAAAAGATGAAAAAATTTTGGAATTGCAAAAATAACTTGAGTTTTTAAAGTAAACCAAATCTATGGAACAGTCTGATCTAAATCAATCAACCGATGAAATCTTGAGTGAAAAATATAAATAAGATTTTGAAGTTGATGTTGAAGAAGTCATTGAGGAAGACATTCAAATTGAAGATAGTGAATAAGAACAATTTCAATAAAATGATCGTTATAATGAGGATTAAAACTAATCTGATTAGAAATCTGAAAATCTATCTAATGACAATCAAGACTAATACAATATGGATGAGTAATTAGATTTTGCTGAAATACCTTCAATCTAAGAAATCAAGATGAGAGGCCTATTTACTTCATTCTTAGAAAAATTCACTGACAACAAATTTAAAGATCTTTGGGATTGGTCTGAAGAAGAATTAAATCAAGTAATTGATTGGCTTAAATGAAATGCATATATATATATATTTAATATTAAATGATGATTTTTTCAACATATGATGCCAGTAAATGCTTATAAGCAGCCCACTCCTTTTTAACATTGATCATCGCTTCTGCAACATACATAAGTATTTGTTCTGATTTCACAATATGAACCTCCCTTCACTTCGCAATCACTGCAGTTCTCCTTCCCTAAAAATGTATGAATTTTAGCTTATGATTCCTGTCCCACTAAATTAGGTTCGGCTAACACTAACGATATTAAGAGCAAGGCAATTATGACTTTCATTATATAAGTCGTTTTTCTAATAATTAAAATAATATTAAGTTTGCATAGAAATCTAATATTATTATTTCTAAACTATTTCATACTAATACTACTCTTCCTTAATCGAAGTAAATCTCAAACTCAATTTGCATTCTGTTACTTAACCACACTATGTCCCAGCCCTTCTTCATTCACTGTTATTTGTCTCAAATTTGTTAAACGACATTCCATCTAACAAAAATTAATGAAGTTTATCAAATCATCTCTATTTTTATGTGATTTTCATCATATAATTGTATTATCTTTTTAAATCTAATCAAAAGATGAAACATAAAATATCAAATAAATATGATATCAGATTAATTACGATAAGTTCTATCCAATAATACTCCAAACATTATAGGACCGCAACTCTCTCGAAAAACTATTCTTTTAAAAAAGAAGAATAAGAAAATATGCAACAATACGCTGAATCAACTGCCTCAAAAAGGAAATTAGGATGTCTCATAAAAAGATGATAAATCGTAGAAAACAGATAAAACTGAGACAATCACAATCAAGTCCCATAGTAATATTGGCTCTTAGACCTCGAATTCCATTCCTTGTATTTCTTAGGATGTATTTGATGGTATTGAAATCCCCCCCACTGATCCAATTTGGCTAGAAATCATCCCACAAGAATTATTGCTAGAAACTACCGTCGAGAAATTATTGGAGGATAACAAAGATTATTTTTATAACCTACTAGGATTATACTTGTAGGAAAGGGCTATTGGAGACTTGAATATGTCACGTTTTGTTTTACCCTAAAAGTTTTAAACACAATATTCGAAAGATTTCACTCTGAAATCTGTGGATCGAAAAATAGGAATAGACTCCAGAATATATGAAGATTATAAATAATACAGTTCGCAAAATTAAAATACTACTACTTACAAATAGTATTTTTAGAAACCAATACCCAATGATATTACCCAATCATTCAAGCCTACCTCAGAACGAAGTGTCCTTGCCTTGGCTGCATTAACCACATATAAAGTGTTCATTAATTTTGTAATCATTAGGCTAATCACATCAACTTCAAACAACCAGAAATACCAGAATTAATGAAGGCACCAAGTAATTCCACAACAGGAAAGTTGCAATTGAATGGAAATTCCAATTATAATCTAGACTATAAATGGCATCAGCATTATGAACGATTACCAAATTTCAAAAATAGTTATTCTAAATTGTACAACCAATAGATTATGATAGGAATCCAATTTCCAATTCTGATATCTTCTTTACCAAATAACGAGCATCAATCGACTATTATCCATTAAGTCCACAACCAAAAGCAACCCAAGTGCTTACAACTCCTGCCTTCTAGGGCTAATTCATGACTACATTCAAACAGTATCTAATACATTTTTATCTTCAAGTGATTTTCAATAAATTGACAAGGAACTGATCTCTCCAAAAACGAGGAATTGGAAATTAAATATGGTTAATAAAATTAATTCAGTTAGGGAAAGATAAATTTAATAGTGAAAAAAAGTATAGATTTGTTTTAAGTTTAACTATTTTTATATATATAAATTATCTATTATAGAACCACTTCATAATTTTCATTAGCCATTGGAGTATTTGGGAGTAATGAAAATGGATTAATCATCCATCATCTTTCTGGCTTAATTTGTAAGTTATCATAACTTTTATAAAAATATTATAATATAATTATATGAGTTATTTAGCTTAATCAAGTCGATTAACTGCTCTACTAATAAGTCTGAAAAATAAAAAATTAATAACACCTGATCAATATACTCGTCTTTGCGATTATGCCATTAATGATAATGCTGAATTGAAATAACTATTTGTGGATTATGAAAAGGGTTTGTCTTAAAATGATTTTCTCTCAGGAGTTTCAATCATTCTCAATGATAGAAATGGATGCGAACATATAATTAAATCATATTTGTACTTTTATTTTCAATTAACTTAGTGAATCTGTTGTCAGTGTCAATTCGTAATTGAAAGGGAAAATAAAGGAATTTTATAGAGATATCAAGGTATTCCAATTGATATCAATTATTTTAGACCAACATGAACGAAATTTATGAGGAATGCTTTAAAGCACAACATCACTTGCAAGAAGTTAAAGATTTGATCAAAATAGTCTTAAAACAATTTTATGTGGAAGAATTTTATTTGATTCAATTTGAAGAAGGACATTAATGTGTTATTCTTACAAATAATTTCGATTTCAGATTCTTTAAAGAAGAATACAAAATTAGTTCTTGGGCACACAAATAAAATGCTCATCAACTAAACAACACCTCAACAGAACATCACTCTTTACTGAAAACTCACAATCTCCCAAAGTAGTACATCATCTCACAGCATGCTGTCCTATTTTTGACTTTTAGCGACAATGTCAATAAAACTTATTCATAGTATTTCATGGCTACTTTTCTTTATGATAAATTTATCAATTTGATTTACTAAGGTTACTAAATTGTAGGATTAAAGAAGATGTAATCCATTAGAACAGAAATTCTATAATTAGTCTCCAAAACCATTTTATTGTATAATTATAAATTGATGTTCCAAATATTAGTCTAGATCATGCAATAGTTTAATTTATCAAATTTATTGTGTCAGTTCGAAAAGGAATTGACCAAACAACAGACTGTTTCTAATTATTTATTAATACTACTTTCAAGCGATTTAGATATTATTGGCATCGAATTAGAAGGCAAACTATCACTTCAATTAGTAGATAAAGTCAAAAGCACCTTTAAAAAGTCAATCAAAAAATATAAGAAAAAACTGAAATCAAAAAAAGACCTATTAGAATCATTCTAACAGGTTACTTAACACAATGAAATGATTATGTGTTTATTCTTCAACAATTACCTGAACCTATATTACATGACCGTTCAATGGAACCACGATCAATTTGTGTATTTAATAGAAATATTATCAATCTAGTTCAAAATATAGTCTACCCAAAGAAATCAATTATGGGGATCCCATTTATAAAATATTTGATTAAAACCCCACCATTATTTAAAAAGTAAAAGAGATTATTGACTCTCCAAACGATCATTTGGAATTTAATGATGGCTTTTTTAAGTTCTCCTTAAAGATAGAAAGAGGATTTAAACAGCAAATCAAATAAATATCCATCTTTTTATTTAACATCTAGGTGAAAAGGTAAATAAATCATTCTCAATACATAGACCCCTGGCTGAATTATTTAGGATATTTAGGAACAAAGTGAAGATCTTACTTACAATAAGAAAGGCAACCTTGGCCTTTAAATCGAAATAGCTAATGATGGAAAATCAATTTCTCAGATAATCAGCCTTAGTTATGTACCTTCCAGACTAGGACAGGAATAGAATTACTTAAACTCATAATCAAGATCATGATTAAGACTTAGAGAAATATCGAAGTTATACTATGAAATAGGCGACAAAAAAATTATAAACATTCTTGAACAAGAAGGATGAAGAAGATAACAAAAATCCTGAACTTAGAAGAATTGCAATAGACCCAAATTTATAGTAAAAATTACTAGATTACGAATTTAACCTACTAAATAAGAAAATGTATAAAAATAAATTCATCATTGCTTATAACCTATTTCACATGTGCGAATATACAAAGTAGTATCCTTTGCTGACTAAAGAATTTATTAATTTCATAACAGTGTTGAAATATAAGTATAATAAAAAATCGAATCCATTTCACAACTTTACTCATGGAGTCAATGTTATGCATGGATGTTATTTATTTGGTCATCATTAAAAATTTGGCTGCTATTTTTCAGATTTGTAAAGATATGCTATGACTTTTGCTGGATTGTGTCATGATGTAGATCATTCTGGAACTACTAATTTATTTTAAGTGAATGCTTAAACTAAACTAGCATTACTATACAATGATAAGTCAGTTCTTGAAAATCATCATGTTGCAGTAACTTATAAATTATTAGCACACAAACAATGTGACTTTTTTGGCACAATACCAAAATAGGATAGAATAACCATAAGAAAATATGTTGTAAATAATATTTTGGCTACTGATAATCAGTATCACTTTAATCTGTTAAATGATATTGAAATTCGATTTGGATAATCTAAAGGAGATCCCAAAATTTTTGGTACATATACATAATAATACTTTAGAAACTGAAGAAAATAAACTATTACTAAGTGGGTTCTTAACACATGCAGCTGATTTCTTTGGTGCGGCAAAACAATATCAGGTAGCAAGAGCATGGAGTGAAAGATTAAGAAAGGAATTTTAGGCTTAAGTAATATTCTGAATTATCATCTAAATTAGTCCTAATTAGAGGATATCATTGGCATTGCTTAAACACCATATCTACGTAATTTAGATAACGAAGTTTAGTATGCAAAGAATGAAGCTGGATTCTTAAAAGTCATTGTTAAACCAATTTATGAGTCGTTAAACAATTATTCAGATGGAGCCTTGTCACTTCAATTAGGAAATATTAACTTAAGTATCAAGAAATATGAAGAGATTATTGAATCAGCAAATTAATGATCATAATTGTATATTTAATTATATCAACATTCAGTATATGTATTGCATTATCAATTTAATTCGCTATCTGATAAATCTGAATCATTTCCTGAAAATGCTTCCAATTTCTTATTCACCTCTTCCATCAAATCAATACTTTTATTAAAAGAATTACGGCATTCTTCTATTGAAACCTTCTTAGTAGATTTGTTTTAACTAATGGCACTCTCTGAACATGAACAACTCACTAAATCTAAATTATTATCTATTAATAAATGAAATTCAAGTACTTTTATCCTATTCATTCATCGCTGCTTGTTCTTTTTGTTCTTCAATCAATTTTTCATTTCTAGACTAAAAACATCCCATTTCAAAATATTTATAACAAATATCCTAATAAAATAAATACAAATATCTAAAAACTATTTTTGATCCTTTTAAATACCAATAACTGTTCTAGAATAGATCTATAATCAATAATTAATACTTAAAACAATGATATAACTAAGTGAATTTGAAATAATTCAATAACAATTAGAATAATTATATAAATAAGATGAAAATTACACTGCATTTAATAAATATGATTGTGTAAAGCAATAATATAATTATCAAAAGAAAGGATAAATGAATAACAACAATCTATATATGGAAAGTAGATAGATTCATTATTTATAAATCTATAACGACGATAAATTATTTGCATAGATAAAATTTAAACCATTTCAAATTAATAAAGAAAAGTATTAAAGAAATCATTGTACTGGGGATAAAATATAATATGTGTAGGTTCATATTTCCAAATACTAATAACAATAGTCCACTTTGAAAAACACTGTGTTCTTTTGATTTAATATTATTAGTCACATGTTTACTAGACATAACAGATAACCTTTATATCCAATAAAATTACTCCAATTTTGTATTTTGCTTTAGTTGGAATGATCATAAAATTGACCAGTCCTTAGAAATTCAAAAGAAAATTGCAAAATAAACTATAAAAATAGAAAATTATATTTTTCAAATTACCATAGTCAACTAATCACTAGATCAATTAAAAGTTAATGAAAATCTTAATTTATTCAAATTTAGAATATAAAGATTTTCAAACAATCATTAGATAAATAATATAAGTGCAGAAATTACTATTATTTTTGGAACCCTCATTAAGAGTTATTGGTTATAATTTTAACAAGAGAAGATTTTTGTATCAAGGCTGATATAATTTAATAAAGAGAAGACAGTAGCTTAATAGGAAACGATAATTTAGATAACAATTGATAAAAATATAATTACAAAAAGTTGTATATTTTTAGACCTAGTTTTCCTTAAGGGGCTGAAATGAAGAGAAGGCTCATTTGACAGAGAATATCTTGCAGGATGAAAGCGATAGGTGCTTTAATGATTCTGTATGGACTCGTTAGTATTATAAATGATTAGACTTAATTCATGAGACAATGGTATTGGTGTTTAAGTAGAAACAGGAATGTGTGTGATCCTTTGGTTTTCTGTAATATATTTATATATACATATTGATGTGGTGCTCTCTTTGATAATATTAAATTGTGAAACACATAATTTTAAATCTAATTTAAAAAATCCAAAGATTTTTATGAAGGTAACATATACAAAATATGCTTTGTTTAGTTCAATATTTCCTATCCCTTAACTGGTGCTTAAAAGACAGTCGAAATTGATGATGACAAGAAATGGTAAAAATTTCTATGGAATTCCTTAGCTCAATCTTCTTTGACAAGAGAATGGGACAAGTTGTAGAAGCAGACAACTTGCGGTGAAGAATTATAAAGGAATATGTGTTAAAGATTTACAGGTGGTAACGACAAACAAGGTTTTTCCCAATGAGACAAGGAGTCCTCTTCAAGGGAAGAGTCAGAATTCTCATGAGAAAGGGACACAAGGGTTACAGACCTAGAAAGGACGGAGAGATGAAGAGAAAATCAATTAGAGGATGCATTGTCGGTTAAGATATTAGAGTCCTTGCCTTACAAGTTGTTAAGAAGGGTGCCAATGAAATTGCTGGACTTACAGATCAAAACGTCCCAAGAAGATTGGGTCCAAAGAGATTGACCAAATTAAGAAGATTGTTTGGATTCAAAAAAGCAGACCGGGTGTTGCTATTGTCTTAAAAAGAATCTCATCAGAAGAACATGGACCACAAAGGTACGGAAAGAAGAGATAAAAGGCTCCAAAGATCCAAAGACTTGTTACTGAATCAAGATTGAGAAGAAAGACCATTCAAAAGAAGACTGAATAAGCCAGAAGAACCAAAGCCAAATAAGCATTGGAAGCATATAAAAAATTAGCTCATGATGTTCACGAGGCTCACAAGAAACACAGAAAAGCATCATCTGAAATCAAGGAAAAGGTTAAAGAATAACCAAAGGTAATCATTAACATCAATTTTTAAGGCTAAGGATACCAAGGCTACAACCAAACCAGCATAAGGTGGAAAATAAGCCACTCAAACTAAAGCTTAAGCTCCAGTCAAGGCTGCAGCTCCAGCAAAAACAACAGCTCCAGCCAAGACAGCCCCAGCTAAGACAGCCCCATAACCAACTCAAAAAGCTCCAACCACCACCACCAAAGCCAAGAAATGAAAATGATATTATAAATAAAGTACATTACATAAAAAAATTTATAATTCAATAAAATATCAATTTGAGAATAAAAATTCTGTTGAATCCTATTTTTTTCTCCACTTCTCTTGAAACTCAAATTTTTGCGAGTTTTTCTATTTTGATGTTTGTGGCTACTACCTATCAAGTTGATTTTCTTTCAAATTTATTATTTGTTGCAATGAATTCACTTTTGGTTAACTACTATATAGCTAACCTATTGATTCCTTATTGATTGGCAAAGAATAAGGAGGCATAATCTATTGAAAATGTTCAAAATGTCTGTTGAAACGATAGAATTCTAGCATTCTCGTTTATAGGATCTAACACTAGAGTTTATTAATATAATTTACATTACTTCTTTGTAGAGTTCCAGCATTTGTTCTTTGGAATACTGGATATCTTCTTTGTTCTCTATAAGACTTTTGATGTCTTTCAAGATGAATATAAAGATGTCTTGTAAATCATAATAGATGAACTTGATAATGTTTGCCAATAAGAGATTAGATTGGAATGAGTCAACATTTTCAATAATCTTTTGCATACTCATTCCGATATAGCATTGATTGGATAGAGTAAAGTACAATAGCAGATCTCCATCAACGACTTCTTCATGAATAAATGTGGTTTGGGATGCCAATTTATAGAGATAATGATAATATTATTGACAGACCAAACCTAATTTGGAGGTAATTTAATTTGGGGTTTTTAAGTTCAATTGTTTGGAAATCAAGATTTTTGATAATTCTGAACGACCAACTTAGGAGCTTAGGATGATGTGCAACAGTAATAATATTTTAAATTTTCTTTACAAATTGCCTTCCTAAACGCTCTCTTTTTCGACTTCTTCAAATAATGATTATAAAAACAGTTTCTAAATTATTTTTTATTAATCATACCTTACGTTATTAACTTTCAAAGAATGGTCTTAATCTGTTTGAGATTAGTTATTGAGATTGGAATTGGTTGTCATTTGAATAGATGTGCAGATCCTTTAAGGCATCAACAACAGGTTGTGTGCTGGAGATGTACTCTTTGATTTTATTTATCATATTATATATTTATATTTTATAAATATTAAATTGGGTTATTACTTAAGTATTTCTTACGCATTTCGATGGTTTGTAGGTTATTTAAGCAGAATTCCTGGTTCCAATAATTATAAATTAATATATTCTCTTAGATTTATGAAGTGAATGATAAAATAAAAATTCAAATTTGTTTTATCAATAACTTATACAGTATTTATATTTTTGAAAAATAGATATGCAATCTCTCTTTGTTAAGTGTTAGAAATGCCAATCAAGACCTGCCACAATCAAGTGCAATTAATGTAGATATGGGTAAACTTTTCGATTATGTTACTCATGTGATTCCTAAATTCACAATCGATCTGGGCCAATAGATTAGTAACATAAAACTGAAATTATACCTTATTAGGGTATCATACCTTAATTCAAAATTTAGAAATGTACTAGAAAAGCTAAGGTTTTGCTCCCGTTCCTCAGAAAAATGATTAGAGAAATTCTTTCAAAAAAAATGAAATCAAACCCGCAGGCCAGGTTCCAACTAAGGACTATTTGAGCAACGATTCTAAAAAATAAGATTACTCTAAAACATTCGATGTCAATCGCGTCAACAATAAACATGACTATCTGGAGAAGAAGATCGATAGTAATGATAAGAGAGTTGATCAGTAATATATATCAGGTGATAAAAGGCCTTATTCATCAAACTAGAAATTCAATCAGGATCAAGATAGAGGATCCTAATCAATTATTAATTAATTAAAGGAAGAACAATAATAAACAGAAAGATTGAGAGCTGAGTTGTAATTGGCAAAAGATAAAGAGAAGGAATTATAAAGAAAATTGTAATGTCTTAAAACATATTTGTAGATAAAAAGTTGAGCAGGACTAAGAATAAAGATCAAAAGATGATAAATAGAAAATTCAATAATTGACTGATGAAAATAGAAATCTTAACAATAAAATCAATTAAGCAAACAAGCAGTTATAAGATGAAGTTAATAAGGTTAAAAAATAATAATAAGATTAAATTAAAAAGTTGGAATAAGCATTAAAGGAGAAAACAGAAGAGTTAGAAAATATTGCATAAGAATACAATTTAGTATTTAAACATTTCTACTCTTTAGGAAGAAATTCAATCCATGATAGAGTAACTGTAATAGGAGTCATAAATGAAAGATCAAATTATAGAATAATTGCAGCAATAATTATAGGACAACTAAGAGGCTTTTCAAGAATTATAAGATAAGTTGGCAAGCAGTTCAAAGTAGAAACAACAGTCATCAAATAAGAAGTCAGTCAAGAGCTAAGACAATGAGAAAGATGAAGTCATATAAGAATTAGCTTAATAATTAGAAGCTAAAGATGAGGAGATTCGCAAATTGGAAGGTTAGCACTTTACTTAAATATTTAGATTTAATTGAAAACTTCAAATAACTCTATCAACATATGAGTGATGAAAAACAATAATTATAAGAGGAAGTCGATAAATTAGCAAATGAAAATAATCAATTTAGGGAAATATTTAGCGTATTTTTTAATCGTAAACTATAGCAAAACTTACATCTATTTGGAATTGATCCTGAGTAATTAAATGAAGAGGGAGAGGAAGGAGAAAATGAATATCCCGAAGAAATTGCCGAGGAGAATGACGAGTAAAATGATTGATTGTTATAAACAAACGAATAGAATTTGATAAATTCAATCTCAAGAGTTAAATTAATCAATTTCATATTTTATGTCTCTCTAGCCTGTCTTCATAAAATTAACATTTATGAAGATTACTACCTATTCAAAATTATAGAAGCTAAGCTATCCTATCTTCAATTTAAATATCAAGCAAATTTAGATTATTAAATTTGCAATAATAATATATGAACAATAAATATCCTAAAAAATTAGTTTATTATGATTAAAATTTAGAATCAAAGTAATGTTTCAAAATAATTAAATTAATAATTAATACAAACATTTTCCTATTGTTAACCCTACTTATTTTCCATAAATTCTATTTCTACTTAAATGAAAATATTTGAAAGCCAACGGTCATTAGTCTAAAAGTATAATATCAAAACAATTATATTAGAGTATCAATAATTTAGAATCATATTAATAATTATTTAACTAAAGTTCCTACCCGCAAAATATTGAACCTAAGGGAAAATTAGAAAAATTGATTTATGAACTCGAATAAACATCTGCTTTAAATTAATTCAGAAATACCTTGAGAGATTGAAAAGAGTTAAAATTGCTTAATACTATTAAAAAAACTTAACACTAATAATAAATTTCTTTCCATCTAGTAGTCGATTGAGGCTGCTAAAATAAATATTTAATGATTAAAAACTTCCATATTTGTAGAATGAGTCTTTATTAGTCAATTTGAATATTGGAGAGTTGTTTTTCTGTTGATATTTATAATTATGCGTTTTTATTATTAAAATATTTGATCAACATGAGCATTATGTTTGATAAGCTGTTTCGGCAATTCGCTTAATTTTATGAGAGCTTCAACCCTTCCTATTTTATAATTGCAGTAGTTGCTTTTTCTCAGGGAGTATAACACTTAGCTGATTTATCAATAAACTATATGCTTAAGGATGATTTTGGATTATCTCCAGCTATGATGGGACTCTATTTGAGTTACACAACAACTCCTTGGATAGTAAAACCATTTTGGGGTTTAATAACTGATTCGAAGCCTTTATTTGGATATAGAAGGAAATCCTACATAATTCTGTTTGGGATATTTGATGCCTTAGGGTGGATTGCTTTGTCGAAATATGGAACTGATAGTTTATACTCTGCCCTTTTATTATTGTTTTTGATATAGTTGTCAACATGTTTCGTGAATGTTGTCGGAGAAGCTATTCTAGTAGAAGTAGCTGCTTAAGCCTCAAGATAATAAACAAATTTCTAGCATGGAGCATCTAAGAATGTTTCAATATTCTTTGGAGTTCGAGCATTCGGAACACTAATAAGTGCATTCTTTTCAGGAGCATTATTACACTACTTCACGAAATAAGAAATATTTATGATGACAGCAGCATTCCCTTCACTATTGGTTTTAGTGTCATTCTTCTATGTTGAAGAGAAGGTTGATCCTAGAGCTTTGGATTAGAATGACAGAAGAAACAACACTATGTAATGTATCAAAGACTTTTGGACATTCTTCTAAAACCCCTTAATTTACAAGTATTATAATAATAGATTCAAGGCCAGTTGCATTGATATTTTGTTTTATGATGGCTCCTTCAAGTTCGACTATCATGTTCTTTTTCTACACACAGGTTTTGGGCTTTGAACCTTCCTTCCTAGGATAATTGAAGTTTGTGTATGCATTGTCTACCATTTTGGGAGTGCTTCTTTATAACAACTATCTGAAAGATGTCCCATTCAAAAAGATATTCATCACCACTACCATCCTTTATTATTTCTGTTATCAATCTATGATCATCCTCGTAACCAGAAAAAATGTTGAATGGGGTATAAATGACAAATTCTTCTGTCTCGGAGATTCAGTCATGTTATAATTGGTAGGTGAATTGAATTTGATGCCCATATTGGTCTTAGCGTGTAGGATGTGTCCAAAGAATATTGAAGCTACCATGTATGCTATGTTGATGAGTACAATCAATTTTGGTAATCTATTAGATTTAACAATAAAGGATCTACTTTAGGATCATAATGGGGAGCCTTATTCTTAATCATGTTAGGAGTCAATCAAAATGATTACTCCAAATTATGGCTATTCATTATTTTGACAGGAGTATTCATTTTGATGCCACTTCCTTGGGTCGGAGTTGTTTAAGAAGACAAAATCCTCAAATCAAGAGATTAGTAATTGGAGGAAACTAAATAGAAAGATTGTGAGTCTGACACTGTTTCCACAAGTAACTTAAGACAAGAGGATGATTAACAATAATTACTTTCAGAAAATGAATAATAAAAGTCATGAAAATTATAGAATACAAATATTAATTATTATTTTTCACATTTTCATTATAACTGATGAAAAACTAATTTGGTTTTGATTATAATATTATACAATTTCTTCTTATTTAGTACTATTTCTAAATGATTTTTGAATTAATAAATTCATTTTGTTAAATGTATTAATTTTTTAATAAAATATTGAATAAGGAAGATCCAAAATTTAATTATGTAATTTCATATATCAATTGTATCTTAATAGAAATTTGTGATTTAAGAAACAGCATAAGGATTATATATTTTACATATATTATTGATCAATAATTTAATATATAAAATTAATCTTTTGGATTTAAATATTAATCCAAAATTGTTGGGATTTTTTTTGTATATCTAATAAGGTTTTCATTTATAGTATAAATATAAAAGGAACTCTAAGTCTAAATAAGATTTCATACCTTTCATCTTCTTCTTCCTTTTTGAACTCACAAGAATATTTTGAGAAATCTAGGGTTTTTTTTAAAATTTGATAAAAATGATTAGATAACATATTTAATCAAATCAAATTAGTTCAAGTATCAAAAATTCATTATTTGAAATAACTTTATTTTTATGTATTAAAAGTTTAGAACTTTATATTTATAAATCATTCTTAATCAGTTTCTTATGTTATAATCAGGCAATTCTGAGGTGATGTAAGAACTTTCTCAGTATTACCCTCTGTAGGTCTAAATGCTATGATATAATAAATACATCTATTTATTTGTTATTTTAGAAAGCAAAAGCGTTGTATTTCTTTAGGTTTTCCTTGTGAGCATCAAAGATGATTGAGGAGCTCCTGGATCAAGACTTAGTTGATGTTTGAAGAGATGGTTGTCGCTCTCGCGTGTTAAGAAGTTGAGACTCGACATTCTCTTGAATTAAGATTTTCTTTCGTTTATTTGCAGATTGAGATTTTCATACTGCAATTTTTCCATTTTGTTACGTTCCTCTTGTAAAATTTTAAAATCATTAAAATCTCTATTAAATTTTATATCTTGAGTTTTGACCACAGAGAACCTTTTCTATACTTTGGTCAAAATCCCTCTCATGGAGGACATTTTTTCAAATTCTTATTTTCTCTTTCTTTCTTCTCTTATCCCTATGATTTCATCAAGCAAAGACTTCCTTTATGACTAATTTTCAAGAAATCTCAAGGACTAAGATACTTGATGGGGATCAAACGGGTTTAAAAGCATGTCAACGGCCTTTGTGACCATTTGCTTGTTTCGTTTAAGCTTTTACAGTTGAAGTTTCTATGAAAAATTGTGATTAGTAGAAGATGTTTAAGTCAAAGAATGTTTGATCATTTTATAAATTAATGATTAATTAAAATTCATTAACTTCGTATTTTTATCTAGTTTGCTAAATATACATAGAAAATATCATAATATTATATATTCATACGAAAAAAAAAATGGCTGAAGATGACTATGGTTTAATATGATGTGTATATAATTATGTTTATGCAAGAATAAATAATTAATTAACAAAGCTTTTTTAACGACATTATTAAAAAATTAAATGTCTCAACAACAATCCATCCAAAAATCAGCTACTCAATCAACTCTTAGAACTTTTACAGATTATGGAGGATAATAACGATTAGTCAACTATGCGAATTTATAAAGGAATCTTTCTCCTTAAGCTGAATTGTGTCTTGCCAAGGATTATAATTCCAAAATCAATAAATATGTGTATATATCATCAGATATCCTAGAAAACAAGAAAAGAATGCATGTACATTACCTTCTGAGTGCGATAGTAAAACCATTGAAATGTGCAAGGAAAATTTAAATAAAATTGCAACTCTTTCAAAAAACAACCCTACGCTCAAACCAAGTGACCCTATAACTCAAGAAAGCAAATCATTAAATGAAAACAAGAGTCATATAATCAAAACTCCTCTAAGTGATGTCGATAATCTATGGAATTTCCATAATAATCCTATTGCTCCAAGATAAAATCCAAATTCTAAAGTGAATTATCAAACTTAATAATCTGATTGGAAACCTAGTTAAAAATCAATCCAACCAGCTCTTTCAAAAACGAAGGATCTTTTTGAAAAAAGAGAACTCAAAGTGGCTGAATCTAAGCCAGTAGCCAGGAACCCTATATTAGAAGACAATTAGACAAAACAATATGGAAAACATGAGTCATATGGAAAGTCTGATCATTTAGAGTGCAAGAAATTACTATCAAATGGTTATGGTTAGGAATTGAAATATAAAGAGGATGTAATATTTCAGTATTTATGGTAGAAAAATATGGCTTAGAAACCAAATTCATTTCAGCTATCCGATAGAACCTTCAATTATTCAACTGTGAATTAAGGTGATTACAGAAAGAAGCCATCAGAATTTGAAAACAAAAATACATTTTTTACTAGAAGATGAGTCGAATTACATATAACTATTATAAATATCATGATATAATTCATTATTCATCTAGGAGACTAATTAACTTTTTTTATTGTTGATCAATTAGATCGATTTTGAAGATATCATTAAGAATGTCTTTGTAACACTTTAAAATCACGATTAAATCAGCATCGATTGATTAAAGAGAGGATGAAAGTGATTGAATCCTTACAAAATTTTCATTCTGTAATTGTAAGCTATGCTCGATTTTATTTGAGATCTCTATATTTTAAGAGTCTTGAGTCTCCTTTAATTTAAGCATGGCATTGTTGATCTCGCTATATAGTTGGAAGCAATTACGTGATTTCCCTTGATTGCTAATGTAAATGTGAAATCAAAGCCTTCTAACTCTCAGTAATTTCGATGTACTATTGTTGCAAATTGTTGGCACTAAATGACATAAACTTTTCATTCAGAGCCTTAATTGTCTTTTCTAGCTTTTAATTGTTAGAAGTATATTGATCTTACACTTCTTTGGTCAATTTAATATAATTGTCCTCGTTAGTTCTGAGTCTCTTTTCCAAGGCGGCAATCTTATTATTGTCAGACACTGCTTATTATGAGATGTTTGGAAGAATGGCTATTTATTACTGAGAATTTACCTGAATGTTATTTGGAGTTTGATCTTCTACCTTGAGGACTTTTCATTTTATCTTGGGCACTCATAATGCTGACATTGTCATTCTATGGCAATGAGATTTAACTTTAATTACGGAGTAGTCCACTTGTGTCATTATTTGAGTCATCTTTTTTTACACTCGCTTTATTTCCATTTGGACTGTAAGGACTAGTTTACAGATGTTGCAATTTCTATAGATGTGAATTAAGTTCTGTCAAGTTGTCCCTATTTTCAAGTCTCTCTTGGAATTCTGTTAATTTGGCTTCAATTGAGATGATGATTTGTTTGAAGACTAGACCACTAACATTATCATCATCTTTAAGAGAATTGGCCAATTCAACAATTTCAATTAGACAATTTTATTTAACTTTAGGTTCCATGGGGATAGGTTAGATTAGAAGCGGTTTAGAAGCATCGAATCCATTTGATTCATTGGCAATCTCTTTTTTTGAATTGGATGATTGATTTGTAAAATTATCCCTTGGTTTTGGAATTGATTTTCCTGGTTTCCTTTCTGATTGAATTGATGTTTTCATTTTTACTATATTTTTGTTGGAATAAAAATAATAAAATATTATTGTTAAATACAATAACTTGAATATAATAAATAAAATAAGTTTAGTTCATAATGAGTCTTCCGTTGTTTCATCAACTTCTTTTATGAAGAAATCCTCAAATAAATTTTTGTCTTAGTTGGAAGGTTTTTTAACAATTCCAAATTAATCTTATTGAGGAGTATATTTAGATGAAGCCATCAATCCCTCATATGGCATAACATCAATGCTTTTATCTAAATGTGCACCCAATTGACTAAGAAATTTATTATTATTCGTGGACTACTAATCATCTCTCATATCTATACTACTTTCGATTTTATCTATGTTTTCTAATTAATCCTAATTGCATAATTTATCTAAATAAATATTATTATAAAATACTTGAAGAAGAGCTAAATTAATATCCAAAACTTCTATCAAGTATTTCTTATTTGGATCCTAACCTACTCATCAGAGCTGTACTACTATTAATTGAATTCATCAATTAAATGAATCCGCACTACTCACCATTTTTTTCAATAATATGGATATCACTAAAACTTTTAATTAAATCCTCTATCATAATTTCATCATTCCTATCGCCATTCTAACTATTTTATAATTTTTAGATAACATTTCCCCATAGTTTATCATCTAATTTAAGACTAGACTGCAATTATTTATCCTAGCAACGATTATTTTATGCAACACTTAATTTATTTATAAAAGCCATCACATCTTTAATAGTACTAATTTGGAAAAATGGATGCTACAAAGCAGCATCAACAGTGATTCTCTCGCTTTTATTTGGATTCAACATAGCCATAATCAAATTACTTAATGGTTATTCGAGTGTATTTAATGATTCTTAAAATCTCCATTCATTTTAATTACCCAACAGTTCTATAAAATCTGTTAATTCATTTGAATGCAACGGTAGTTTTTGGAAAATACATTAATATGTAATGACTCCAATTGCCCAAATGTCAACCTCATTTGAATAGCCAGCTTTATGATATATTTCTGGAGCACAATAAAAGATGTTACCCGTTTTTGTTAGCATTTCAATTTGCTATCCTTTTGATGAGAATCTTCTTGAGACTCCAAAATCGACAATTTTTACATTAGGAGGTTCACTATCCCCATCCAAATTAACTAGAATATTATCTGGCTTTAAATCTCTATGGCATATTCCTTTCGAATGAGCGTGCTGAATTCCCAAAAGAAGCTGTTTTATCACAATCTTTAACTCCTCGGGAGTCAGAGGTCTTTTCTTTATTATGCTTTCCAAACTCGGGAACTTACAGTACTCCATTACTAAATGAGAGGTTTCCATCTTTTCGTTGATGTAAAGCTCTATATCCTGAGCAATGTTTGGATGTTTTAGACATCTAGTATTATTGAATGTCCGTTTAACATTGCTCTGAATCTCTTGATCTCCAGATCTAACTATTTTTACAGCATATATCTCTCCTGTGCTTCTCTTCTTTGCTATCTTAACTACGGCATGAGCTCCTTGACCTTTTAATTATGATTAAATTTATACCTAAAGTTTAAAGACATTAGTAATAGTCTTCAAATCGTTTGCATACCTCAGGTTCATCCATTTTAAGTACAGGAGCATCGTCACTAAATTGAATCTGCGTTTTTAATCTATTCGCCATTAAAATAAATAAGTTTAATGTTAAGTTAAGCAAAAAATAAAGCCATCATAGTAGACCCTTTATAACTTATAAAACAAATAATTCTGACCTCAACCTATGTTGGATCTAGTTAATCTAATAAAGGGATTAAATTTGGTTGCTACTAAAACAGCAGGCGTATAATTTCATCTATAATCAAAACATCCGTAAAGTTCTAGAATAAAGTAATTACAGACATCTTCATCAGATGAATATTCAATTTATTCAAGATAATTCAAAAAATACTCATATTACATGTGTTCTTTTAATAAATATTATCTTCTAATCTTTAAGATATGGAAAAAGAACGAAATTTAATAATATGAAGAAGTATAGAATAAGAAATAAGTTGAATATTTTTAAGAATTACATTAAAATAAAGTCATTTTTAAGATCACTATAATTGTATTCAAGAATAACTAAAATTAATTTGATGTTGGATATTCATTAAAAGCATCCCTTAAAATATTGTGTCTTTTTAGTAATAACATTTTGAACTACACTCAAATAGGATTCCAATAAAGTCAAACAGAAGAAATTAGAAAGACTAATATATCAATTTAAACATTATTTTGTAAATCAATAATATAGTTTATGAAAATATTAGTAGAAATACCCAATTACAAGATTAATACTGATAATAAGATTATGAAGAGTTTGGGAGTGATTTACCATAGCCATACTAATCTTAATCAAAGTTCTACACTTTGACTACCAAATTCTACATTGCATTTTTATTTCATGTTCTGTTTGTTATTTTATTCATCACATTTTAATAGTATGATAATAATTAACTTCAAATTTAAGTGGTTTATTAATCATTACCCCAATTCTTCAAGCTATGATTAGGGTATGTTGAATATTGAAGATCGAATTCACTCACTTTTTTGAATATTCCATTCTTACCTATAATATTTAATATGTTTACCTTGATGAATATTCATCATTCCTTTAAATAGATTTGTATATGCTCCAACCATCACACACACATCTCCTGGAGAAATGGCTGACTCGTCCATATCATGTAGATTCAAGAAAGCACTGCCAGTCTCATCTGCGATCCAATACTTTGTGATTTTCTTTTAATTCTTAGTGATTTAGGTTTCAATTTTTTTTAGTACTATGAACCTGATAAAGTGGATTATTTGCTTACTTGAATTCTAAGTTCTTTTGTGTTGGGTACATATTTTTGATTTGGTTTTCGAATTTCTGCTTAAAGAGAATGGAATTGAGTTATTCAAACACCTATTGATTAATCATTTAATTAATTATGATATATATTATTTTCGGAATACTCGCTCTAAGCTATTTAATAACTCAACCACTCTTAGTGGTTATCTATTTCAAAATTAGGTATGGCAAAAGAGTAATTATATACAATATGCTCCAGATGTTAGGAACTTCTTCGTACTCTAAGTCAATCAAGGGCAATCAATGGGGATGCATTTGAAGCACTATCCAAACGAATAGGGGACAATAGATAAGCAGACATTTTAGTTACAAATTTGCTATTTCGACCTATGATCGTGTTCCTAAAACCAAAATACTATCGAATATTCATGCAATAACATTAAGATTATACTAAATTCCCTATGATAGTCGACAAGAGATTGATGACCAAAGGCATGATAATGGAGGGGGGAGCCAAGTGGCTACAATAAAGACGCCTTTTGGGAACTCATTTCGAATATAACAAGCTCATCAACCTGATTCCGATGATAAATGATGTAGCCCAAAGGAAATTGGCCAATCTACCTAATGAAGTATTCCCAGCCATGAATTTGGCCTCTTCAATTACGGGAGAGATTGTTCTCAAGGCTTTCTTCGGTGAGGACATTGCTTAATTGAGTCTAAACGGACAAGATCCATCATAATGCGTCACTCAGCTTATAACTCGATTTGGATAATTAACAACTGAGTCTCGATTCTTTCAAATAAAGAGAGCATTGCTCGAAGAAAAAGTATTCAGTCTATTCCCCAGAAAAATAGAATAGGATCTATATGAATTAAATACCGTTATGCTTGATCACATGAAAAAGGCAATAAAAAATAGAATGGAAAAATTGAAGAATTGCAAGAACATTGAACACCAGGATTACCTTGATGTTTATTTGGATGTGTACCTAAACAAAAACGATTCTATGGATCCACCCATAACAGAAGATGAAATACTACAATAATCTATCACACTTTACTTTGCAGGAACTGAAACTACTGCAAATCTAGTTACTACAGCTTGTTATTTTTTAGCTGAGAATCAGCTGCTTTAAGAAGAAATTTACTAGGAAATTCTTGAAGTTTTGAATGGAGAACTAATTATAACAGCTAAACACTTACAAAATCTGTAAAAAGTAGCAGGATTTTTAATGGAATGTCTTCGATTAAAGCCAGTTGCACCTATGTTGATATCTAAACAAGCATTAAAGGATTTATACATCAAAGATATATTCATCAAAAAAGGTAGATATTTGATCTTATTATGTTTAGGATGGTATGTCAATTATATGGTTTTATCAAATGCATAAAATCAGAAATACTTTTCGAATCCAACCCAGATCGATATTACAAGGTGGAAGGCTGATGGAACTCTCAAAGACTCAACCATCGATCCATTTGCCTTTGTGCCATTTTCAGCTGGAGGTAGAAATTGCATAGGATAATACCTTGCAATTATTGAGAGCAAAATTGTCATCTCAAAAATACTCTTAAACTATAAATTGAAATTGAATTAGAAGATCGCTAAAGCAGAGTGGATAGCTAAATTTACGTATGGTCTATCAAATCAAGATTACATTACATGGGAAGCAAGATGATGTTTAAAATTTTTATGTTTAGATTTTCATTATAAAAAATTTAAATGATCACACTTTGGCATACATTACGAATGTCTCACTTTAAGTTGTTAAATTAATTTGATAAATTAATTATACTTAGGTGATTCTCCTCCATCTTGATTATCAAATAAATTAGAAGGGTATTATAATCCAACATATTGACAAGCCTTAAGAAATTGTATCTATTCTTAAGGTAACATCAACTTTTAGTACAAGTATTTGCTATCTTGATTTGGAATAGAATTTTTTGAAATTTGCAAGTCTAATTTTTTGCTAAAACTTTCAAAGCTTCTCTCAATTCTAGGTAGAGAAGTAGATCGGATTTTTTGATTGGAGAACACTATGCTTCTATTGTTCTTATCTTAACTTATACTAAATCTTTTGTTTCTTTCTTCAATCGTTGGAATTTATATAAATTTTTTGATTAAACTATTTACTTATTTTCTATTCTTTAATTTCAATATTTCACTTCCTTGTGCTTCAATCAAACTTATTTTATGATCTAATTCTGATTTTTATGCTTTCATGATTATTTTAGCTTCTTGATACTTTATTATTTCCTCCTTCAATCTTCTTTCATAGTTTGCACTTGTTGTGTCAATTAATTGTTTAAGTTCCTAATTTTGCTCTTATAAAAACATTATATCTAAGCTACTCATATTCGTTTAGACCTCTTAATGAACCTTCTTTTTCTAGATCAATAACTTTTTTAGCATGCCTTGATTGTTTTTAATTGCATCTCGCATCTTTTCTGTTTCCTCCTCCACAATTTGCATTCCTTATGGAACCTCCTTTGGACTTGGATGCGAATCGATAATGTTTTTACTATTAATCGACAGTTTGTGGATAAAATCGCCAATTGATGACATTTCAATACTTGCTCGACTTTGATTGACCTTGGCAACCTTATGTTTCTCCTTTATGCTCTATTGTATCAAACATTCGAAAGGCACGCTCCTGGGATGTGGAGATAAATGCAATTGGAATTATTGAATCCACAATAGCAGATTGTTCAGGATCACCAAGTGATATCCAGATAGAGTCTTTCATGATATTGCTTTACTATTACTTTTATCACTTCTCCCAAATACGCTAGATCATACTCGCCCAAACTCAGGATTAACTAGGCTTCGCACACTGTCACAATATTACAGTATTATCTCAGGTCTTCGATGTAGCCCTGTTAAATTTCTTATTGTCGATCGTTGAATTGCACTTAAGCCTTTTACAAAACCTGCCTTATCTTCACTGTGAGTTTCTCCAAACTTAATAGCAGCTATTGAAAATTACTCTGGATATTGTATGGAACTCATCTGCTTTGTTATAATTAAAATGAATTATAATCTAAATATCATTTATTTTTTGTTGTAAAATTAATAATTAAGCATGTATCTTAAACTCATCATCTTAATCAGTCCTTTATTCGAAATCAAATAGTGAAAAGTCTTTTATTCTAAACAATTCCCTATTGAAATATTTTAATTTATTATAACAAAATGAGTTATGGTTGGCTCACAGAAAGTTCCTTAATCCCAGAACCCGCAGTTCCCATCAATGTGGATAACTCATCTGTAATTACATAATTTATCCAAGCATAGATAGTTGCAATGAAGATTGCTTTGATGAAGGATAAATAAAATGAATAAGGGGCACTCTCCAAGGCAAAGGTAGTTAAAAAATAGGAGAAAAGAATCAACAAAGGAATTGAAGAACGAATTAAGAGAGATATGAAAGACACTGCAGCTGAAACTGATTAAAATCGTTTAGAAAAACTTAATGCAATTTTAACTAAGAAGGCTGAAATTTATGAGAGATAAAAACAAACAGGCATTGTCACTAAAAATTCATTGATTGACTTTAATTTAAAATAGATAAATGACATGAGTGAAAAAGATTAAGAGTATTGAATTGTAATTATTCTTTAGACAGTATGAAATGGAAAGACAGGACTTCATTAAGAAAAAGAAGGAGGAAATTCATTAAGCATAGAGAAGTCTTATAAATCAAAGACCTGAAATTGCAAACCCCTAACTTGGATTTCAGTAAAATTAATAAGAACTTGAAAGAATTTAATGGGAACAGCAAATGATGAAAGAAATAGAAGGCAACATTAAAGATTCTAATTAAATTCTGTTCGAAAAAGGACCAATTGAACAATCTTACGATAAAAAACTATCATAGGCAGAAAAGGAGTAATCATATTTATCATTTCCTATAGAAAACTCCCAAATGTTTTAAGTGAGGAATAAGAAGCGAAAGAGAAGATATCAGAAATAGCAAGAAAAAGAAAAGAATTTCAAGAAATTAGAATGGAGAAACTAAAAAAGTTAATTAAAAAGTGATTATTATTGTTTAGCTAAAATTAATATTATTCATTTACAAATTTGAGCAAAATCAGAGTGTTCAATGTACTCTTTCGGGTCTCAATTAAAAATACCAAGAATACTCAATATTATAAATATGTTCTTTCATAATAAAATTTCTTTTAACTGAAATATAATATTATTAAATGCATATCATTTGGTCTATTTCTTGGGGTTCTTTTAATAAGTAATTGAGTGCTATATTCTAATTAAAATTATATGAGAAATATCCATAATTTTAGACTTTTTGTTATTAATAATTATCATTAATTTTATGAATTTATAGATATAGTCAGAGAAATGTATATTTCCTAAGAAAAACAAACACTCATTTGGTCCAACGCCTTAAGCTGTGAAGATAAGTAACAAGCGATTGAAGAGAGAATCAAAAAGTGTTATGGAAGTCTCCTTTAAAAAAAATGATTAAGTGATAATAGTTGAAAATTGGAAAAAATACAACGAGGATGTTAGTAACCTTGAGCAACCTTAAACTCCTATAAGAAAGTTCAAAGAGTCTAGCTGCACCGGTTGTTCAATTTTCTGATCAAATGAAATATATTTATATAAATTTGGACTGTTTTTTGAATATTTCCTTGTAGTGATTTTATAAATGCATCCCAAATTCACTTTATGGTATAATTAAGGGAATTAACTATTTTCTCTTTTATTTAAGGTGAGTTTTCTTACAGAAAGAAATCCATATAATTTAGATATATAATTTCTTGTAAAATGAATATAATTAACTTCGGAAGCAATTATTTATAAAAGATAAGAACAAAATATCATTATTTTAAAAATATATATGAATATGCTGCAGGAATTAAATTAGTCTGACTCCGACTCATATCCTTAAAAGAAAAGAGGTAGAAGTACAAATGATCGTCAAAGTAAAATTAGATAGATTATATTAGTGACAAGCTAGGAGAAGTTTGAGTTTTAAAAATAATATTAGTTGTTTCAACTGTTTTATGAAAGTTGCCAGAACATTTCAATAGACTTTGTATATCTTAAAGAATATTTTAATGTTGGTTTAAATGATTGTCCCAGTGATGTTGAAATTTTAAAAATTCAAAAGAAACTACACAATCGGCGTTTTTCTTCCAATCCTAAGAAAAGTTGGGGTTTTGATGAAAAAAAAGTATTGATTTGGGTGATTGGAAAGTATTGTTCTTTGAAATAAAAAAATTGCAGATTCTTAAATGGTGATGATTTTAATGAAATTGCATAATATTTATTTAGAAGAAATGCTGAAAACATCAAATAAAAATGGACATCTATGCACAAATCATCCTTAATTACATAGCCATTCACTTAAGAAGAAGATCAGTAATTATAATTATTATTTGAAAAATACAAAAACGACGAAAATAGATGGAAACAAATTGCTTAGGAGATGAGCAAAGTCAATCAGATATACAGAACAAGTAAGCAACTAAGGGAAAGATGGATTAATTACTTAGACCCATCGTTAGTTAAAATTAAAGATCCTTGGACAGATAGAGAAGATTTAGAGTTGATTTATTAAATTTAATAAAAAGGAAAGAAATGGACTGAAATAGCGAAATAATTAAAAAGAAATGAAAATTAAGTGAAGAATAGATTTAATGGTTTATTAAAGAGAGATGAAGTAGATGATGATTTAAATAAGTTAATAGATAAAATATTATGGAGAATTAGCAAATATCCAATTGATGAATTGAACAATTAAAATGAAAAATAGCATTTCCATAATAATCATCATTAAAGTTTATTACTGGCTGTAGGGAATATTGAATCAATTACTAGAGAGACTTCCTTTGAATTGACTCCTTGTATGGTTAATTTAAAGACTAATTAAATCTTTTTCACTCCTAATTACATGTTATAAGAAATCCTCTAATATTAATAATAAGATATTGGGGATGAATTTGAGAAAATCAAGAGAGAAATGGAGAAATTTGAACCTCCTCAATTTAGAGTCGCTTCTCTGTCTGTAATTAGTGAAGAGTATCAATAACCATAACTTTTACATAATCAGCACTTTATACACTCATTTTCTGAGATACCCAACTTTGAATCATCAAATTTACCTGCATCTATTGAAGTTAAGACATTCATTAATCCATTTTATTCCTTAAAGAATTTGTAGTAAAAGTACGTTCGGTATCGGACAGATTTATTATTACCAAAAGTAATGAATACTATACCTTGGAAATCCTAACCCTAATTATTATTTTGTTGAAAATTAAATTCGTTTCGTTTTATTATTAACTATTCCAAATGTATTAATTTAAGGTATTTTTTAATTAATCCGATATTAATAGTAGTATACTTTATATTTCATACTATCAATAAGTGAATAAAAAACTAGAATATCAGTTATTGGTAGTAAAATATAAATATCACTGTTATTATTTCATTTTTATTTTGTCTGCCATTTTAATAATTGAAACTATTAAAATCCTTAATTATTTCTTTATTCAATGTGAAATGTTCTTAAGTTTAATTTTTATAGGCTAGTGGTATTTTAAAAGAATTCTATTCTAAATTATTTTAATTTTCATCAATCTCCATATATTACTATAGAATATTACTACAATAAGTACCAAATCATGTTATAAAATAATGTTATATAATCTTAGCTTCATTCAATTCTAAAAGGTATAATATTATAAGTTATTCTTGAAGTTATGTATTATGAATCACTAAAGGTTATAAATACATATAATATAAATTTAATTTAAATTTTTCTATTGAATGGAATAAATATTTGGAAATTCTGTTTCACACAGCAATTAAATAGCTTTATCAAGTGACTTTGCTTATTCAGCTGGTTAAAAGGTAGTGTATTATTCAATAGAAAATAATGAATAATAAAACTTTTTAATTGGATAAGCTTAAGTAAATTCCATACTTATATCCAGAGATGGTAATCTGATTTTTACAGGAGAACAGAGTTTTAAAAGTCCAGCAATCAATATTTATAAAGTAACTACAGAGAAAATTATTGAACCTGTTCATCGATTAATAGGTCATAAATTTGGAATTAAGCAATTATTGGAATCTCCAATTAAACCATTTTTATTGTCTCTTGGAACAGAGTAAGATAAAACACTATTTTTGTGGGATTTATAAACAAATAAAAGTTTGGCTATCAACAAGCTTTAGAATAAAGTGAATTCAATTAGGTTTTCAAAAACAGGAACTATTTTGATTAGTGCAGGTTAGTCTCATTTACAATATTGGCAATTTCGTTAAGATGGAACTCCTATATTCGAAGGATTAACTCTTTAATCTAAAAGTTTTTAATTATTTGACTAATTTGTATCAAAAAATTACATAGATTGTTTTATTGATGACAATGTGTATGCATTCACATCTGATGCCCTATTGTGTATTTTTTCATTGGCCACAAAATAGTTGTTGTCTTTTATGCAGCTAGATTTAATACATCTCTTCACATATACCTTTAATGGAAAGTACTTTTTTTTTGGAAGTTCAAATTCTAAAATTTAAATTTGTGATTCTGAATTGTAACATGTTTCCTTTCTCACTTAAAACAATTAAACTACTCAGGAATATGATTGCATAGGAATTGAAGCTAATGATATTTATTTGATCTCTGCATATCGCAATAGGAATATTGCATTTTGGAACATCACTAATATCAATAAGATTGAATAAATAAGAGTACTTTATAGTCATAGTAATGTTATTAATGATTTGATTGTTCTTAAACCTTAATCAACTTAGGAAGTATCATTCTTTGCTTCAATTAGTGAATAATATCTGACCATCTGGCACACCAATTCTAATAACAGAATCAGGAAACTGAATTTGCATAGCAATGTTACTTATGTAGAACAATTCAAATCTGATTTTTAATATAATGAGTTAAGGTGTCTATCTTTATCTAGTGATGGGTAATATTTGGCTATTGGAGACACCTATGGATTGTTGAAAGTTTTTTCATTTGTCAGTTTTAAGTAGTTGGCCTCTGTTTAGGCTCATACTTTGAAAATAACAGCAATTTAATACTGGGCTTTCAATAATAGTTTTATGACAGGATCAGAAGATAAAACCATTGCAATATATGAGAAATCAAACTTTAAAAATTATTGCCTTCTTTCTCATCATACTGATTCAATACTAAACATATTTACTTATTAAAATAAGATCATTACATATTCGAAAGATAAGTATCTTGTATTTTTAGAATATTCCTAATCAAATTACAATATCTACCATAAATCAATGGTGAGTAGAATAAATTCAATTGATTAAGATTAAAACCTCCTGTTCATTTTATAGGATGGAGTAGTCTCTGTTATTGATATCTTGCGAAATCATCAGAAATTAATTTTAAATATCTAAGATTGTTTAAAATTGAGAGTTTCTCACCAAGATAATTACAGAATTCTGGCGACTACATCCTATAAAAAGGTTACACTTTATAAATACTTGAATGAGAATGACTATAAAAAAATAGAAGAATTAGATATTGATAATATAGTCACGATTGAATTTGCCAATAATAATACACATTTAATTTTTATGACAAGAGAGGCGAATACAATAATACTGTGGAAACTCAATTCTATAAAATCAGTAAAAGCATAAGAAACCCAATCTTTACAATAGAGTTGGGTAAAGAATCATTTTTGGAACAATAATAAATAGAGTTCAGAATAAGAATAATAAATTGAAGAAGATGCGATCATAAAATTTGATTCAGAAAGTGATGAAGGCTAGATAGAATAAAATAAAGTTGTATCTGAAACTCCAAGATTAGATTTATTGGCTTTAACATTAGGTGCATAGCATGCAGGGGAAATAAAAAAATAATTAGAATAAGCTACCTAATAAATTAACAAGTAAATTTAACTAAAATAAGAGGAACAAGGTCTGTTGCATAACCCATTTTATGAAGAACAAAAAAGTATGCAAGAATTTCATAAGAAACAGAATTCAAAAATAATGTAAAGGTAGTTATTGAACAAAGCACCTAAGTAAGATTAAGTTAAGGATCAATCAAAAGTTGAATAAAACTATGCTATTACTAATAGTATTGCATTGCCTATTCAAAGCTTTTTAGGGTAAAAGAATCAAAATTAAATAGTATAATATGATAAAATGCCCACTATAGAAATGGATATCAAAAGATTTGAGAGTAGTTAGGTTATGAAAAATATTTCATAGAGTATTCGTAATATATCTAAATTCTAAAGTTCTTTTCAACCTGAAAATTCTATCGTGTTAAATTGCTCGTACAATTTTACTGAAAGAAAGCAGGATGATTAGAATTATGATGACGAGAATCTACTATATGTATTTGATATCAAAGATAAAATAGTAAAATCAATAGATTAAAAGTGCCAAATTTCAAATGCGATTGATAATGATTTAATTGAACGAACTTATTGAATGTCTTAATTAAATGCATAAGCCAATAAAGGATAAAGTATTATTAGAGGTTGATGAGAGTTTGGAATCTATTTCTAAAGAAATACAAGATATTAGACAAGTGGATTGCGAATCAGTAGAAGAAAATTAAGAAGACCAATAAGAATATATATGTAATATTAATATATGAGTTTTAATAGATAAGACAGTGAGTTAATGCAGTGAAGAATTGTTTGAGAATTACGTTAAAAAATTAGTTGGTAAATTGCTAAATTAATAATGAATTATGATATAATTGTATTAATTATTTCATAATAAACAATATTAATATTCTCTTTTAAAGAACAGTTGCATACTTTATTTATTATAAAAATTAATTTAATGATTCAATAATCTGTATCTGACTATAAGCGGAACAAAATCAATAAAAGATAGATATTAGAAATTAATTCAAGAGATAGTAAAATATCTATGTAAAATTTAATATTTTATTTCGTTTTATTTTATACATCTTAAAGAGTTGATTTTATATCGAAATATTTTGAATTAAATAATTAAATTAAAAAGAAAAATTAATATTAGTAAATTGAGATAAAATTATTATTAGAATCTTTAATTACTTTATCATTATAAGATGATGTACCAATTTGAAAAGGATGGCCTAACTTCATACAGAAAATGTAAGTATTTGTAAATTTAATCTTAATATGATACTCAGTTTGAGTTGTTAAAATCTGAATAAGAAGAATAAAATAAAGGAAATTAAGGATCTACTTAATAACTGTATGCAGACTGATAAACTTATGATTATTCATGCTATATTTAAATTTGCTCAAAACTACATTATTTTAGTCAAAATGCCATATTCAATAAGATTGTTGAAGAAAAGTTACTGATTTGTATTTGTATCTATTTGAGAAGGATGATTAGAATAAAGGCTTCTAAGATCAATGATGTAATATTTAGAGACTTTCCACTTATTGTATCCAGAAGTCATTTTGCTAATAGAATTTTACATATATTGTTAGATACAACACTATCAAGTCACATGAGATTGTTAACTAAAGTACTGACAAGAAAGCCAAAGGTTATTCAAAATATAGCCAATAATGGAGTGCATATAAGGAGATTGAAGGGACTTGCTTATATGAGTAATGAAGCCAAAGAATTATTAAAAAAATATATTTGTGATAATTAACTCATGATCTTAAAAATTAGATAGCTCTTTTCTACAATAGCAGAGCCAGTCTCAGGAGGTAAATAATGGATGAAGTTCTTTCAAAATTCAACTGGGATACAAATAAACATTGAAAGGAGTTTGAAAAATGAAGCTGTATTCATTTTTTTATATCATAGTCTGAAAATCTCAATTACTATGTTCGTTAAAATTACAAGACTTTTAATTAGGAATAGTTGTTTTCAGCATACATTAAAAAGGATTTGCAGTACGAAATTTAAAAATAAGTGTAAATGGAAATCTTAGAACGATTTGCAGCAGATCAAATGAATTTTAATGAGAATATGCTGATCACATTTTTGAACAAGGAAGCTCAGATGTTACCAGCCTATTATTCAGTAATAGCATAAAACCTCCTTTTAAATGGTCTGAAGATCTTTGATTAGCTTAGTATTTATTAATAGATAGAATATATGAGATTATGTTTGTAATCTGGGTTTTTGCATGGAGACATTCTTTAGAAATTCATCAAAAATCTAAAGATAGATGATGAATTCATAGAATCCTTATCATTGCTTTAATTCAAAAACATAATGACATTATTTACACATTGTGCTAAATCTCCATATGATTTTGGATTGTAACCAGGATTCATAGATTACCTGTGTAATAAATATATCCAAAAACTAAGTAATTTTGAATTGGTAGCATCCGAAATTATGAAATATGAGTTTTCTCAACTCATGATAAATTATCATTTTAGTTTTTTGAGTGATGAATAATTTTCAGAAATTAAGATTGCCTATGCAAGAATGTAAATAACTTATTCTACATTAGACTTGAGAGAATGTTCAATAAGAATTATAATTTTATAGTCCAAAGAAATTTGAATACTAAGGATATTGTTCAGAAATTATTGTAACTTTATCAACCTGAGGATTTTAAATTATTACAAATATCCCTTACTCATTTGATTACCAATACAATTAACTTAGGAGAATTAAAAGCTGACCATATGATTTATTCATTGCCATGTAAATATTCCTCATTTATATCAATAGTGTATTTTAGGTATTTTAGTCCATAACTGTACTCCTTATTATTAAAATAATGCCAGAAATAGAATTAAAATTACAAAATATCGAAGTATGACATAAGGCAGTTTATGTTCTTGTTGAATAACAATGTTCTTAAAGGGTTTCGCACCATAATGGAAGATAAATCTCCACTTGATGATGTTGAAAATTATATGAAAAGCAGCTTCTCTTAATACCTCAGCAATATTAAAGATGAAGAACTGATGATTTTTGAGGATACTTTCAATCCAAGTATGGAGTAAGATACAGAACTTGATTTTAATGATAGCGAATATGCTGAAATCCTACCATATTATCTAAATAATTACAAAACTTAAGAAACATAAAATCAAATCAATCAAAGGCAATTTTTAAACAATTTAACTCTAAAATTCAAATCCTTACAAAAAAGTTTATAGTAGAGTGGATTTCAAAGAATCTCAATTTAAAAAACAAATAAAAGAGTTTCAATTATAGAGCCAGTTCTAAGTTACATTGAAGTATTATATTATGCATCAATTTTAATTCCTGAATTCTAACCATAGACAAAAATATTTAAAACTCCTTAGATGTTTAAATTAATGAATAATCTTATTAATTTACCAAATCTATTAGAGCATTTGTTTTAAGTGAAGCAAACATGGCCTAATTTATTTAATGAAGAATTAAAATCAATAATAACTACCAATAAGGCAAAAATAGATGAGATCTACAATACTTGTTAAGATTGTTAAGAATTCATTGATAAAGTTGAAGGAAAAATAGACTTAACTGAATCGCACAAATCTAGAAAGTTATTATATACTAACAAAGCCTATCAAGGATTGTTGCAGTTATTCAATTTTGCTCGTCCAAAACCTCACAACAAATTATCTCCAATTTTAAAAAACCCATATGAAGAGTACACAATAGAAGAGACATATTCAGATTAAGAAGTCAATCTGTATTGGAAACTATCACAAAGGAGTGATAATTTAATTTAGCATACTCATTTCAAAGAACTAGTGTGGTAGGCAATTAAGCTTGATAAGAATAAATGGATTATGAATTATAGTGACTTTCCTCATCTGGTCGATTTTGCCTGTCCGAAATAGAAGGTTGTCGTCTTATTGGAAGAGTACCCTCGTTTAATTAGAGGGTTGCATAAAGTGTACACTGTGGAGACGGAAAGGGCAGTGGAGCATTTCTCTAGACTCGGATACCAAGTTGTGTTTATAGATTATAATGTGTATCATCCAGATACCGAGTAGATGTTGAACATTTTGAAATAAAAGTTTGTATTTCGTTATAATTGAATTATAAAATATTATGAACGAAATTACAATCCCATGTTCTAATTGCAAACAACCTATAGCTGAATCAAAACATATGCTTCATGAAACATATTGTCTACGTAATAATATAAAATGTCCGAAATGTGGAGTATTTTACGATAAAAATGATCCAGATAGTCATGAGGAGGAATACCATAAAAAAGAAAAATGTTAATATTGTTCCTTTGAAACTGAAGGTCACTTTCTATATTATTTAAATAGATTTGAAAAAACATAAATGCTTTAAGAAACCAAAATAATGCATGCATTGCGATCTCTCCTTCCCAGCTGATTAGTTATTTTAACATGAGAATCAATGTGGAAGTAGAACATAAAAATGCGATATCTGCAATAGTTATATAATAATGAGGGACTACCCAACTCATCTAATGACTTGTACTCCTAAACCAAAGCCTGACTCCACTTAAGTATAGAAAAAGCCAACCACTTAAGAAATTTTTGATAAACCAAATTATGACAGGTCCAAAATAGATGATAGAATTGATCAATAGAAATTTATTAGCAAAAAGGAAACACCCCAATAAAATACCTCGAACCAAGTCTCATCCAAATAATAAGTTCAACAACAATAACAATAATAATAATAATAATAGCAACAAACCAGAATTGCAGGATCTGGATACAAATATGGATAGGCAGCTGGTGAGTCCAAGACTTCTTATCAACTAAAAGACGAAGACAAAAATAGATAAAAGGATACAATTAGACCTCCGTCTTCTAATAATTCAACAGGTTCCAGACCTCAGGCTTAAATCGCGACATAAGGAACATAACCTAAATAACAATAATATAATGCTACGTATAATCAAAGATAATAGAATTCCACAAAAAAAGAAGAGACAACACAATTTGATAATCAATATGAAAGGTAATAGTATATAAATAGACAATCCCAACAATCCTAACCACAACCATAATAATAGTAAAAGTAATCAACTCAAGCTTAGAAAAGTTTGGAGAGTTACAAATATTCTTAAAATGATAAACCACAATTTTAGAGTTAAAATAATAATAATCCTGGTTTAAGAAGACCAGATACAGCAATAGCAAGAGAATTCTAAAAATAAATAGAGTTGGAAGAGGAATTTGGGATAAGTCCAGAAGAGTATTTAGAATAACAAATATTTAATACAATGCCAATAAATGGAAAGACAGAGAAAATTCAGCCTGTCAAAAAAACACCACCTCCTTAATCTGTAATACCAGCAAGGGTTCCTCAGAATTATGACAGCAAGGAATTCGATTTCGATTTCTACGATATTTCGGAGGAAGAAAAACTTGCATAATAATAAATAATGGAAAGTTTAAAGGATAATAAGAAAAAACGCTGAATCCTATATTTTTATTATATAAATATGAGTTATGTGCTTTTTAAATTCAGAAGAAATAGGCGATTCTTAAAAATTAATAATAAATTTATTTTTTATTATATTAATTGTTTAATTTAAGACTATTAATAGTTGATATCATCATTAGAAGTTTACTATTAATGATTAATAAATTTCTTCATTATTACATGTATGCTTTGTGAAAACACAATATCTTGGCATAAAAACAATAATGTAGAATTATTTTCGTAGCTTAAGCTTAATTTTATTGTCAAATTTAGTTATTTGACGACCCTAAAGCTTTTCTCATAGAACAAGCCGCACAACCTTTCTCAAAGAATTAGTTTGCAAATGATTCCATTAAGATGAAAAAAATATCAAGATTCATATAAACTAGAGTAGAAGAGATATATGTAATAAGAATTAATGTACAGGAATGAGGAATTCTGTTTTACAATTATGTAATTAATTGATGCAAAATTCCTTACTTGAATTATTCCATCTATTGTGTTCTATATACAACTAATTTCGATCTCAGATTAAGAGTATGAGTTAATAATCAAAAGATATTTCTTGTTAAAGAGTATTAAAAATAAAATTTATGAAAATCATAATTTTATATGTATTAGCTGGGGTAATTTAAAAATTTAAATTGATAAATATAATTGAAAAATATAAATTTTAAAAGGAGAAACTATTATGCTTAGTATTTAATAATAGTAAAGCACCTTAGCATTAGGAGGTAGTCGGAACTTTTTGGATTATGCCTGATTATTATTGAGGATGATAGACATCTTTCCTAAAAACTTATGCCTAAACTATCTTCTCTTAAAATAATAGGACAATCTTTACTAACACTCAACTTAAATTTGAAGTAGATTATGAAAGATACTATGAAAGAACAGATAGATCTAGTAAAGTAAGATCAAAGATACGATTTATTTTGAAAAATTATTTGGTTGACTTGTAACTTGAAAAATATTACGAGTAACAGTTGTCCATAGACGAATTTCAGTTTTGGATTTTAGAAAATTATTATGGGATCAAAGATCACCAGAAATGAATAGAATTAATAAGACTGAAAAAGTTCAAAGGAGCAAAGATATAAAGGAGCATTATTGTAAATGAAGATTAGTTTGAGATTGAATAAGCTTGTTTAAGTAAACTGAAAGAACGATGCTTTAAAAAACCAAATAATAGCTTTGACATTGATATAGCCCTTAATTTTAAATGTTACTTTCCTTAGTAGAATATTGACTCTTTTCTTTTTAACCAAACGTGTATTTATTGAATAGTTAATTTAGAAATATCTCATGAGAACAGGAGGAGTATTTTTGCACCTTCACTCTGATACTAGATTGCATGGAATTGAAAAAATTTATATTATTAATATTAATTAATAAATATAAATGGGTAATGGATAATGTTGCAAAAGGGTGGAACGAGTCGAAACTTTAGAAGTCGATAACAGTCCTCCTTAAAATACTAAACATGCTTCGCCTTTTGATGAGCCACAGCAAATGGTTTCACTCTCTGATTCTGACGAAGAATATTAACCTTAGAAACAGCATCAGTTTGGAGTATTCAAAGAAAGATAAAAATCTTCTCAACTATCAACTGGATAACAGTATTCTTTTTAAACTCTACCATCTGAATAATAATTCTCCAATTTTATTACTTTTTAAGCCATTCCATCTCAGTAAGGAATTCATAGTAATGTATTCTCCAAATTTCAGAAGGAGATGAATGAGTTTGCTAGTAAATAAACCAAAAATTAAAAGAACTTGTAAAAATAATGAATGATTTGTATTTTTGTTATACTTATATATCAACTTTTAAACAAATATTCGTCATTATATTTTAGAATTTTCCAACATAACTTCATAGTCAATCATGATTCTAACAATTATTATTCTGTCTGATTTATAGAAAATAATCACAAATATTTATATAATATCTTATAACTCTCATTTTTTATACTGAATTAGATTGTTATATAAATACACTTTTATGATAATCTACTCGTAATATTTCAACCTTCTCAAAGTTTCGAAGCCTGCATGATATGGCTTATTTAAAACAAAATCATCTCCTTTTACCTAAGACTAAGATTCAGTACAAAATACTTTTCACATAACAAACTAATTGTAATTCAAAATTAAATTTTCTTTTAATCTGTGCAATAGAAGACACCAATTTTAATGTTGAATAAAAAGTAGAATTCTAGATCAATCAAAATTGTGAAGATTAATAAAATTGAATTTCTACTCCATCATACATTATAAACCACTGAAAATGTCTCTATAAATTATGAAATATACATCCTCATCGAATATACCTTCTTATATATTTGTGTACTTTAACATTATTTTACTACTTAATTGATTGATTGGAACTCCATACCTACATTTGAGATGATTATTATTCACTAAATTTTTGAAAATAATGTTAAATTAGATCTCATTTTTATGACAATAGGTTCTGGATGAACTAATAACATATATAAATAATATCCTATTCTCTAAGATGAATGAATTATACTCATTATTTTTCATAGTGAATTCAATCCAAAACATTAAGTATTCTTGTTACTTAAAACATAAATTATAGAAATCTATTTTCCTTGTTGTATTTTGCCTACTTTAGTGCTACAAAGTAAATATAATCATCATCATTCTAAAAATAGAAATCTTTTTTTATCCATCTATGTTTTCTATAGTACTTTAAATTTCCACTACACCACTTCGGAAGTCTTCCTTACCTGATTTAAGTAGATAATATGTTTGATTTATACAACATCCTTTGAAATAATACTCGAAAGAATATCCTAACATTACTAAGTGTAGCACAAATCTAATATCTAATTTTCTTATAAAATCTTTAGTTCTTTTTAATCTTAAGGAATTTATCAATCTTGTAATTCACCACTTGAATCAATACCTTTGCCTTCTATATCAGAGAGATATTCAAATCTTTCTTCTAAGTTTACATTCAGTTCCTTAGTCTAAATACATTATAATTTAGCAAATTAATTTTTCTCTATTATATGTCCTTCGTGAATCCATTGATTTATTCAAAATGTATCATCTTAAATGTTTTGTTGAATATTTATCATAATCCTGAAATCATTTCAAAGACAATCCTCTCTATTTTCAGAGTGTATTGTTGCATTCCTAATATTTGTAATTTAAACAACTTAATAATTATATCTTAGGTTAACCATTTTATTCAATTTATTAATTAACTAAATGGTGTGTAGCTGGATTGATTGTTGAATCATGGAAACTAACTTGGTATATTATAATATCATTTCATACTAAAAAGAATGAATTCAGTATTTGTTAACTAATCATCTTATTTATCTTGAAAATATATTTCTTTGTCACTTTTAATTCAATTTATTAAGTATCATAATGATCACTTTATTAGTAACTCATATTGATTAGAACCGATCTCATAATAGTCTCAAAATCCAAAATAAGATGGTGATAACACTTTCCATTTGAAATATAAATATATTTGTTTCCAATAAGCATATAATTTAAAGTAAACATAATTAATTAGTATTTTTAAAGAATCAAAATAAATCAATATTGATATTTTCAAATAAAATGGAATAAATGATATTTTATAAATAGAACCAAAATTAACAATTAACTTTATTAGATCTGCCATTAAATTTAGTCTACAATTAAAATAGTTATCAAACTTGAAAATTAGGATTTTCTTATAAATTAAAATAGCCATTTGATAATTTTAATAAGTTATAATTTAAATAGTACAAGATAATTAGACACAAGAGGACAAAGATGGATAGAAAACCAAAAGCGTGACATTTTGTTTTGAGAAGAACACAGTTCACTCTATTTACAAATGCCCATCGGAGTATTTAAGTAAAAAAAAGAAGAAACAATTAAGCAGAAAAATCTCAAGTTCAATTAAAGGTAAATGGCTTTTGGATTAAACATCCTCAGATGAAGAAACTAAAAACTATTCGGATCTTGAAGATTATGAGCATTTCTACAGCATTATTGAATGGAAAAAACTATAAGAAGCACCACAATAAAAAATGACTCCCAATAATTAGAATGAAGATTAAAATTCAAATAAAATCAATGATTTTAAAGATAGAGTTTTGGATACCCCTAAACCATTGTCTAAAACAGATCAAGAAAATAGATATTCTCTCTCAATTAGACGAACAGTAGTAAAAGGATTAAATAGACGATTAATAAACGGAGGTGTGTTCGGAAAAAAATCTAAATAAAGATAATCTTTCAAATGATTAATACATTGTGGTGAGTAAGTTTAAAGATCATGATGAAGAGGAAGAAGAAGAAGATCAAGTAAAATAATTAAAATAACCATAGATATCTATAAATCTTGATGATTTATTTGAATTCTAAAGTAATTATAAAGAATAGAAGACTCATGATAGATAAGATATTTCAATATATGATTCACTAAGGAAAAAAATAGATTTTAAAACAGCATTCAAGATTGTTGATATAGTAAAATTATATGAAAATATATGAAAAATTATTTAATTTTATTTTGTAATACATTCAATTTCTAATCCAATTAAATCTATTGTAAATTAAGATTACAATTGATGTATAAGAAACTAAAATTAAGTTGGCCATCATTAGCAGTCTTCTGTCTAAAATACTTCCTTAGGATTTGAATATTTCTGTTTTGCAAAGGTGCTGAATAAGTTTTGTGAGTTCAAATATACAAATATCTTTGGTTAGTGAAAAGACCATTTTTAATTCTAATAATTATATTAATAAACGGATAAGAATATATAAATGAATTTGAGAGTAAATTAAACGTTCAATAAGTTCTATATTTAAATCTATTAGCAATCCATATTATTAATTTTAGCATAATGAGTTAAAATAGCATTGCACTTTGTCACAACATAGCCAATAAGATCTTTAATAATTAAGTTCTTTCCTCAAAAAAGCACTTCTTTCTTTTTTACTTTTTCTATTTTGTATGTTATTAAACACAAAGAATAATAACTTCCTGATTACTTAATATGATCAATAATATTAGAATGCCATTTTGGGATTGAATTTAAATAATAGAAGTAATTTCTTTAAGATTAATAATGTAGACTTCAATTCATATGAATTGTCTAATATCTATTTATAAACCATATTAGTTTATAAGATTCAAAGATGAACTGAGTCAGAAAGGATTAATAATAGTACAGAATAATGGAAAGTACAAAATAAAGTTTAAGAAAATAGTATTCTTTGAGGAAACAATGAAATTAAATATTGGATATTTCTTTGTTTAGGTTAAAAAAAATACCCTAAATGACTGAAAATTGACACAAAGAATTGGTGAATTGAGATTTTTATTTGAGTTTTAGATGATTAATTAACTTATAAATTTAATTAATTAAATTATATAAATAACGAATGTCTAGTGCCATCATAGGTAGGAAAGTTGATAAGGAAGTTCTGTTCAATATTGATGGGTAACCAATAAATGATAGTAATAATTCATAATATGACTAGATGTCAAAGTTTTGAAGTTTGCAGCCACTCCTCAACCATAATTAGTTAAATAGTCAAAAGAGCCTGCTAAGAAAGAATAAGAAAAAGGTAAACAAAAAAAAGTGAACAATAATTCATCTTAGAAAACAATACCTAAAAAGTCAACTTAAATTCCAAATTCAAAAAAACAATCAGAATCAAAAAAATAATAACCAACTACATAATCTCATACGGTATTTCAGAACATTACAAATCATCAAAAATCAGCTAAATTATCATCTCCTGAATCCCAAAGATCACCATAACACTCTCCTAAATCTAAATCACCAATTCGAAGTCATAATGCCCCATACAGAGAACCTAGATAATTTAAACCTTTAAGTGAATAATTCCCAAATTTGGTTGGAGCCTTATTTGAATAGAAGAAATTTACAGAGGATGTCGATGATGACTCTTAGACAAGTGGAACTGAATCGTATATCTCAGATAGAGAATAAGGAGATGATGAAATTAGATAAGCACCTTAACCAGAATCAAATCCTTAAGTATATCGAAATGTGAGTAAAATCGTTGCTGAAAATAACAAAAAATATGTTTATTCAAAAAAGGAAGAAGCAGAAAGACAGGAGAGAATGAGACAAGAAAAATTGTAATAAAGAGAAAGAATGAAAAAATATGGCAAATAATAAATTGTTAGAGCCCACACTTAAAGAGAGAATTTTGAATAAAAATTTGCCTGGGGGGTCAATTAAAAAAAATTATAAGAGGAAAAAATGAAGTTTTCAAAATTATAGGAAGAAAAGGAATATGAACGACAGTTAAAAATTGAATAATAGGAAGAAGAATAGAAACCTAATTAAGTCAATTTAGCTAAGTTATTCCCTGAAAGCTAAGAGAGAGAGTCTCGTTATAAAAAAATGTGGGTAGAAGAAGCCAAAAAGGCTGTTGATAAAAAACAATTTTCATTATCTTAAAGGGAAAAAACTAAATCTCCAGTCAGATGTAAATCCTAACACTCCTCTAAGTTGAATTAAGACTTTTTTGAATAAAATGCTAAAAACATTATTGATGAAATGTAATAGCAAAAGAAATAAAAGCAAAAGGAGACAATAATAAAAAAGCATAAGATTGATTATATTAATAGACAAGTTAAAGCAATCTTTTCATCAATGAAAAAGCGTAAGTGGACTCCAAATAAAGAATTTGACAACAAAGTAGGACCATCAGTCAGTTTAAGTAGAATTAAACAACCTAGAGAGGATTTTGGAGTTAAAGAGATGTTTGAAGAAGCTGAAAATGAAGCAGAAGATCTTCATGAATAAGGAACGATTTAACATTATTAACAAAAAGTGAAAAATGGGAAAGTTCTGACATCAAGAGAAGTTAGAGAATTCAAAGAAGATTAGGAAAAGAAGTAAAAAAAGGTTGAAAAATTTAAAACTGATCTTAAAGATAGAAAAAATATTACTTTAAAGAACCCAGAACCTCTTACAGAAAAGGAACTCAAATTAAAAAGAGAAATGGCTTAACAAATTGATATTAAAGGAGAAGTGGAAAAATAAATAAAGAAATCATAAACTAAAGAGCCAAGAAATCCTTAAAAAGTACAAAAAACAACCATCTAAGAGCCTGATTTAGGGGAGTTCATATTTGCAGAGGCAGAATTACCTTAATACAAAGGAGATTATGAAGAGGAATAAAAAATGGGTTTTAGAGAATAGGTTGAAATGGAAATAAAAGAATAAATTTTAATGTAGAAAAAGAAAAGACCAGCTGTAAGAGAGGTTTAATAAGAGAAACCTAGATAAGAATATGCTCGCAAACCTTAAGAGAGGGAGAAAGGTCCAAAATATAGGAAGGAGCAAAAGTTTGTTAGTCAACCTAGATATCCTGTGTTTCATGATTTGGGTGAAGTCCAATTATTAGAGGATGATATGTATAATGCATAACATTCTAAATGGACTCCTTATGCTGGGAAATTAATTGACAACAGCAGTGATGAAGAAGATGATAAAGATTTCCTCGAGAAAACAACAATTTAATTGAGATCAAATCTTAAAAAGGGGAAGGAAAATGTAGGATCTTAAAAAACTTATTCCAAGTCTGTATAGGGAAAGAAAAATGTTTATTTCAGAGAGCCAGAAACTGAAAAAAAGGATATTGGAAATCAATACTTAACAGAATAAAAAGAATAATTAATGAGAATAGTTTAAAAGTAATTGTTATATTTATTATTTAGTTAAAAGGCCAGAGGACAAATGACTAGTGATGATGATTCAGATACTGACTTTTGCAAAGCTTACTCGTCATAGATATGGTTAGCAACAGACCCTATGAAGCGTGATGTTTTCATTATGACATCTAAGGAATTAATGGATCTACCTCATATTCAATTATGAATACATTTTTATTTTACTATATTAATTAATAAAATAGAATTCAAGTTAAGTCTATATTACAGTGTTGTAACTAATAATAATTTAATATATGAGTGAAATACCAAGTTTATTTTCAATATTAATTAAGGTTTTAAAATAATTATAATAATAATATATATTTAATACTTTGATAAGGAAATATTTAAAAATATGTTTTACGACTTAGAAAAATAGCCAAATATTTTTTTCATACGAATTATTATTTTTTTTTAAGAATCTGTTCTAAATCTTATTTTGGAAAGTAAGAGAGAACAAGATTTCTATCATATTCTTCCTGCTTTTTTGGAGATTTATGTTTTTTAGCAGGAATTCTAAAATGTCTTTCAAGATGTTTTAGATGAGATTGTTTTAGCAAGTTTTATAATTTATCTTTTGAAGACCTTGACTTTTTCATGGTTTTATCTTAGGGAGTTAGTTCTCTTGATTTGGATGAGTTTGCATTATTATTCTATTCACTAGATTTGTTGAGGTTGATGAAATTACTCACATGCAATGTTGAATACTTTTATTTTTAGTCTTTTATTTCTGTAACAAATCCGTATAATCTGTAGGAGTCGTTTAAGAATTTATTTCTTTAGAGGGTACATTTGTTTGGTTGATAGTATTTTTGGTTTTGAATTCTGTCTCTTTTGGGTGAGGAGCACTCTTAAAAGTTTTGATTGATGGATGTATTCATTAGTTCACTGTTTTGTCTATCGATTTCATTAGATTCAGTCTTTTAATTTTTTTTCAATTAAGGGAATTTTGGTTGAATTGTTGGTTTTACAGAATTTAATCTTTGAAAATTATTTTCATGAAACTTTTGCGATGAAAAGATTTATTGACGTGAGTCTTCAAAATAGGATAAACTATTTAATTTTTACGGACTATTTTATGATTGCGTCTGGAAATACTTCTTTAATTTTTCATTTCTCTCGAAATTGTTACAATTTAGGTTATGATATTTTTTCTGTTTTTTTGATGGAGAAGTGGAGCAGGCTCTCTATTTAAATTTCTCCAATTCTTTGATCATATCCTTTCTTGCCATATAAATAGGTAGTTTATTAAATTTTTGATGGAGTGCCAAAGATCCTTAGGGTTTGATGATTCGATTTGTAGTAAGGGGAGTGTTAATCCAGGTATTATGTGGTAGAGAATGTGAACCAAGTTTAAGACCCAATTCAATTTTATTGTTTTATCGAATCTCTCTAACATTTGCAAAATTTTTTTTTTTTGCAAGAAAGTTGACTGGGGTTTGTAAATCGAAAAATTGTTTGGCAGCAAAAATATTTAGCTTGTACATGAAAATAATATTAATGAACTAAATGTATAATAATCAATTTTTGTAATATTGAGGATAATAATTTAATAATAAAAAAAGTTAGTTAAATTTATGTAGCTGAAGTCAGTTCATCAATACTACATAAAAGCCAAAAACCAATCTAAGGATTAGAAAGGGACAAAATGTAAGGATTAGACATAAACCACTGCATCTTAAATCTCTCTGATTTTGAGTAGAATGAACAACAAAAATATCCAGGATACAAAGGCAGTGTCTGATAGGGCTAAGAACAATATATAGATATCTCCTAAATTATAGAATTGTTTGTCAGCCTCGAATCTAATGAGCAAAACTTCTTAATCGCCTAAAATAAGTGAATGCACATTAATAGATAAAAAATTTGCAAAAGAATGTCCGAGTAGAATCACTAATGGAACTGAAATACAATTGCCCACTGAAATTAACAGTTTCTTGGAGATGGAGGAGAGAAAGAGAAGATTAAATAATTTCAAGGAACAACTCTAATAAAACATAATGAAGATTCAGCATTTGGACCAACTTTAAACTTAAGTAAAATTGATTGAATAACAGCTACATTCTATTGTTTAGACAATCATTTAATTAAAAGTAACTATTTATTGTAATTTCAGGATTCCTTATGCTTGTAATTACAATAGGAATAATTGACCTATACATAAATCACTTAATCTATTTCAGATTCATTGTATAAAATGAAAGATGATATACTTCATAATGAGGTGAATATTGTTGAGTCGATGTAAATGAAACCATTTTAAAATATCATGACTATTTACAAAAAGAGATTGGATGAACACTATAGTTGTGTGTAATAAATGATCGGCAAGAGATAGTTTGTTATTCAATTTAATTAATGGTGCCAACAATTGATGTTAAAACTCTAAGTGGATACAAAATCAACCTTTGATTCGGAGTAAAAAGAGAATTGTTTTTATGGGAGTAATAAAATAGCAGAATCCCCAAAATTTCGCAGCAATTGATAATATATTTATTTTTGAGACTGATTAAAAAATATCTATGAATTTTAGGGCTTATTAAAATTTTTTATTATATGGAAATAAATAAATCATTTATTTAAAAAGAAATTATATGAGTAAATTCTTTTAGGAGGAATCCAATTCAGAAGGGGAAAATGAGGCTCCTAGAGGAGGCCCTGAAGTAGATGCAGGATAAGCATCACAAGCAACAAGAACTAGAATTATCTAAGGATTGATAGATTCAGATGATGATGAAGGATAGAGAGTGATAGTCACAGAGAAGGAAAAAAGATACACAAGATTGAGAGAAATCATTAAAGAAATCAAGATTAAAATCAAAAACCAGGATTTTGTTACATTATTGGACAAATTCGAAGAATTAAACAAGGAGGTTGAAAAGAGTGCTAAAGTATTTGAAAAAGAGGGAGGATTGCCTAGATTCTATATAAGAGTTATGTGTTAGATCGAAGTGTTGATACTCTAATTTACAGCTGAATAAAAAAAGAAATTGGGAGTCAATAATAGCAAAGCTTACAACACATTAAAACAAAGAATCAAAAAGCATAACTTGAGTATTCATTTATTCTATGCATCATGTAGCTATTAAGGACAAAATTGACGAATTCATCAATAATCCTGTCACTACTGATCAGAGTGAAGATGAGAGAAAGAAGAAAGTGAGAGCAGAAAAAAAGGCAGCTGGATCTGATTCTGAACCAGAAGCACAATAGAAGGAAGAATCATCAGATTCTGAGGATGATGATAAATATTTGCTTTAATCCAATGATCCAATGGTCAGGAGAAGGTATTGGTTAAAAAAGAAATTACCAGATAAAAAAGACCAAAAGGTTGAAGAGATTTAACAAGAGAAAGTCAATAAGAAGGTTGCTGTAGACATCGATTATGATGTTAAATTCGATATTGCTTAAAATAAAGAAATTCATATTGATTATGATCCTGAAGCAGTCAAGAAGAAGTTAGAGCAGATTGTCTCATCTAGGGGAGTTCAAAAGAATTAAGTGGAGAATCTTTACATTTGTGAAAAATACATCTAGTATTTCATCAAGGAGAATCTCCAAAGAGCTGTGGAAGTAATTCATCATTTTATACTCATAGATATTGCTTATCACAATTTCATTATAGATTGATCAAGCAAAATCAGAAGCACCCTTCTATTTCAATAGATAATCATGGTTGTAAATCTATTAAAATACATTCCTCTTATTCTCACTTCATCAAGACAAGGGAGTCAAAGTTGAAAAGTTGCATACCTACAGCAAATATGATTAAGAAAACTCCTTCTCTGAGTTCAGATTCATCAGCACTCTTTTAGTCAATTTCTAAACACTCGAGGTTGAACTAAATAAGGCCTTCTAAAATGTTGATTATTACACTTAGGAATATGCTGAAAGACTCAGTGATCTATATTAATTAACACATCTATCCCAAAAATTGTTGGAATTACTCAAAATCAAGAATGACACTGCCAACATTGCATTGATGAGTTTCAAACAATTAGAAGCCATCTATTACATTGGACCTGCTGTGATCTAAAAGTTGTTGGAATTATAAACTAATAAGTAAGCAGCAACTCCACTATAAATCTTTGGAAATGGTGATATTTCATCCAAGATCTAATCTCTTGTTGAGAATATTCTCAAATATGGAGATAAGGAAACCATTGTAAAGGCAACACTTTATTGGGTTTACAATCTAGCTTTGAATGGAAAATATGAGTAGGCTCATGAAATATTCATATCCAACATCTCATATGATTAAATCTCATAAATGAAAACATTGATTCAATTATATTATAATAGAGCTTTGGTCTAATTGGGATTCGGAGCTTTCAGATAAGGATTAATATATGAGACTCACCTCCATTTAGCTGATTTATTGAGCAGAGACAAAGTTCTGAAGGATTTACTCTCCTAAAATTATATGAAATAAGTTGAAGGAGAATACAGGTATACTGTCCCATATCATATGTCAATTAATGTTGAGACTATTGAATTTGTTTATTTATTGGCTGCCATGTTATTGGAAGTTCCAAACATAAACTAAGATCTATTTGAGGATTCTCATAAAATCATTAGTAGAAAATTCAGATAACTTTGCCAATATTATGATTCATAAACTTTCAATCCATAACCTGAAAATATGAGAGACTTGATTTATGCAGCATCCAAGGAATTGGCCAAAGGAAATTGGACTAAATGCTGGGATCTCCTAAAATAGATTCAACTTTGGACCAGAATTCCTTCTTATGAGCAAGTCCAATAGCAATTAAAAGAAAGAGTTTAAGAATAGGCTTTGAAGTGCTACTTGTATACTTTCAAGAATGCCTTTTCTAATATTTCCATCAATTACCTCAGGGAAAGATTTTAATTGTCTGAATAAATCACAAAGACTATTGTTTATAAGGTATTTCATATTTTAATATTGTAGATGATTTATTATGGAGAAATTAAAGCGATCATTGATAATTAAGATTAATCCTTCTTGATTTTTGTAAATGATGACATTTCTAATTAAACCAAAAGATTGGCTAGTGTACTTATTGAGAAGTTAAATCAGTAATGTAAAAATAATGAAAAATTAATGGTATTATTTAACGTAAATAATATAGGATTCTAAAATTGGAAGTTTTGGTATTGCTGTAGACAAAGAAAGTGTAGATCAAATAAACAAGCAAAAGAAAAAAAATGTTACTAAAAATAAAAAACCTCCAAATGCATCAACAAAAAGAAAATGATAATTTTATTACATTAAATAATCTAAAGTATAGTATAACAGGCAATTTTATTTAAATAAAATACATTTCATATGCTTTAAAATATATTAGTCTTGGAAAATTTAGAGTTTAATCTTAATAATTTATACTCTTGCATCAATTAAGAACTTGGTTTATTTGGTATAGGAATAAATGTCTTAAGGTTCATTGAACTCATTTTCATTGTGTCAAAAGGTTTATTTGTTTCATTCTATTCTATATCCACATTATCTTAATAGTATTCAGTCTTAAAAACCTTCAAATTGGCATTGGTCAGTAAGTCTAAGCTGTTTATTGTCAATTAATTGTTAACCTTGGTTTCCTTAATCATCTTAGTTACTTTATGTTGGTCTAATTCGATTAATTGAATGTCAGCATTAGCATAAACATTCTGAGTGTAGCCTCCAAAAATTAAGATTTTGGAGTCTATTGAAATACTACAGTGACTGAATTTACCATATTTAAACCCTCCAATTTATTAAACGAGCACCCAATTCATCTACATCAATTATAAAACATATAAATCATTAAGGATGTTCTCCTCTTTTGAATCATTTCTACCTCCGTAAACAATTAGAGCATTCAAATTATAGTAGTAATTGAGACTATGAGAATAACGAGCGACTGGGACTTACCCCTAAAATGATGGCAGATAAGTACTTTAGTTTTTAGTTTAATGATTCTAATAGGTTTAAATCCGAATTAAATGACTCTCAAATCGTTTGTAGCCTCTCCATTCTGCATTCTGCCTCCAAATACATATATTCCCTCTTAAGTAACATTGGGATACTTTCCTTTCTTCTTATTGCATTCATAGCTAAAGTAAGGATTCTCCATTTTGACTTCTCCATTGAACAAGGAAGCAGAAGCTGCATCTGAAACCCCTTCGAGAGATTAATTTTCTATTTACAACATATTCCTAGAGTATAATTATAGTTGAATACCATTTATTAGTTTCTAAATTCAAACTGCAAACATCACTTAAGACTTTGCCAAAAGAATTAATTCCTCCATAAATAATAAAGTATTTTCCAACACATTATGCTATATGGTTCCTCCTTCCTTCTATAAGATCACCAAATGTCTTAATTTGAGTCCACAATTTTTCTGCTGGATTGAACATCCTAACATCGCTATAGCATTCTCTAATCCTCATTACATTGTTAAACTTTTTTTCACCTCCATATATGATTACACTTTGCTTGTACAATGTGGCAGTGTGTCCAAATCTTCCTTCAACTGGTGCTTCTCCTTTGCCTACTCCTATGTCTTTCCATGTCCATGTTTGAGTATTCAATGCAATAAAATTCTTAAATAGATCATTACCAATTCCTCCATACATATATGCCTTATTTAGAGAGGGAATGTAAGTGACTGAGCATCCCTCTCTGACAGGCGGTTTCCATTCATTAATTTAGATGTTGAACCAGAAGACTTTAACAAAAGTGGAGGAAGGATCCAATTATTTATTATTATCATCTTCTTTTTGTTCATCCTCTTCTACTTATGGAATAGGTTTTGGTTTCAATTTGATTTTCTTTACTTTTTAGAGTTGTTATAACTCCTACTATTTATTAATCAACCCAGTAATTTCCTTTACTGTGCTTGTCCATTTTCTATTTAATTTATTTGTAAATTGATTAGCTTATAGCTGATTGAATTGCAATCTATTTTTAAGTGTAGATTCATTTGGATTTAATTGATCCACTTTACCCCACCAACTAGAATTGGTCTTCATCATTTCTGTAAATGTTTTGAATCCAATGTCTTCATTTTATTATTGTAAAAAGATTAGTTTGCAATCCCCTTTTGAAATATATTCATCAATAGCCATAGTTTGTTAATGCCTTAACATTTCTGGCTATTTCAATTATATAATCTTTTCGGTTTTACTTAATCTTATATTTTCAGTTTTGAGCTAGTAGACTGGAGACAACTTCCGTAATCTGATATCTTCCAGCTTTTGTTATTAGGTTTGAACCCATCGTCGTCTTCTTTCTTAATCCATAAATTTATTAATTCATTATTAATATAATGTATCATATATTATATAAATTTGTTCACTTTTTTACCTTTGGCAAACGCTCATTAGAATCATCACGCTCTGATTATTTCATAACTGAATTCGCACCAACTCTTTTCGGTCTTGTTGAATCCAAACTCATCAAAATGGAGTGTCTTTAAGACAGATTCCTTTACCTCCCAGATCTATTTACATATACTTCACAATCAGCCTATGTTTAAGTTGTGTATATATTTGTTTTTTCTTAAGATTGGTCTAAGGTTTTACTTTGACCTACTAGATTTTTATGTATATATTTGTTGAAATACCAATGAGGATTATATTCTCTTGTTTCTAACAATTCACTTTTATCCCAACAATCTATGACACTCTGTAATGATTTTTTCAAGAGGTCCTCTATAGAATAATTTATCTATCTATAGTTGCATATCTCATTTCTCAATTCAAAAACTGTTCCTGTAGTCGATGTAAATTTGATCTGGTCTTTCGATTATTTGAGTAGATATGCTGCAGTTATTTATGCAACCTCAGTGCTCCCCGAAAACAATTACAAAAGCAATTAAAACTTTCTATTTATTACATCCTTCTCTCTGAATAGGATTTTTATTTGATTATTCAAATACTCTGTGTCATTGAATATATCTGATTTCAATTTCAATACATGGTAATGATTTTTATCAAAATTCTACATAGCAGTTGTAATACTAGTCTCATATTCCTTTAATTTTTACTCCATCTCATCTTTCATATCCAACAAAATCTATTTAACACTTGCCTTCACATCTTCTAAATTCTCATCCAAAAATTCATAATTGTCAACTTAACCAAGCTAAGTTAAATTATACCCTCCCTTAGTAGCCATGCTATTTATTCTACCTACTTTTTATCCTATTTATGACCAATTTGTAAGTTTGATACCAATTTATTCTATTATAAAGTTTTATAGCTGCTCCTATTAACTTAATGAGTTATCAGATATAATAACCTAGAGTTCAACATCCTTCTTTTATTATTTTTTTTTCTACTCCAACATTTATGATTCAAAGGCTGCTAATTTAATGCTCTATTATTTTAAGGATTCAGTTAATAATTATGAACGTATATCATCCAATTTATAATTGAACTCCTATGACATTTCTTTGGCTATAGTGGCTTTGAGACTATTAAACTGGTCTGAAAGCTTATTCATTTAACTATTAATATTGATTTAGAACACTGCTAAGTGACTGTTTACAATTGTTGGTATTTTTTCTTAAATCTTTTTCCTAAATTCATCAATCGTATTTAATGTTTTATTATAGTCTTACAATTCTTTAGAAATTTCCTTAAAGTGCTTCTAAAAATTCTCAGTCTAATTATTCAATTATTATTAAAATGAGTTCCCTTACTAACGATTTTATTATTCAAGCGTCTCCAACCCTTTTATTCTTTCATCTATGGATACGTTGTTAACCTCAATTTAACTCTATAGATTTTATATAGTTCCCTTCAAAAGTCGATTATCTTCAGCTCTTGACTGTTCTTCCTCTAAATATACATCCATTATTTTACTTTATCTAAAGTAAATTTAAAAAAATCCTCATTAATTAAATGATTCATCTCTTTCACAATCCATTCAACTCTCAAATCTAAACTAGATTACTTCTTTTCTTATAGATCTTTATGTATCCCTAATTGTTCCAATTACACACTCTAGTTTTAAACATCTTTCAATAGCATTTGCTAACTTTTTGAGATTTAACTCACTTAATTTCTACAATCTACAAAAAATGTAAAATAATCTTTAAAAAATTCATCAATTTTTTTGCTAAATGTTTCAGCATACTCTGTTTATTTCTTCTTTAGCTATTCGAAATCATTTTAAGTTTTTAATTATGAATTAATAACAAACTAAGAATGACTCTTTTATTATTCGACTTCTTTTTCCATAAATTCGATTTTTGATTTCAATTGAGCAGATGATTATTGGGCTTGATGCTAATTTTTTATTATTTCTAACTCTAAAATTCTCTACGATTTCAAGAGAATATCAATTTCAGTATATCTCTTAGCAGCGTCAAGCTAATTACTTTGTTGACTCTCATTTTACTATCTAATTTACTACTTTAAATTATCAATGCTCAGTTACTATTCATCAATTTATCTTAGGCAATCAGATACTAAATTAATATCTATAATGATACATCTTATCATTAACGGTTATGACAGTTCATAAACAACTTGTCTCATTCTAGTCTCTATTGAGAATTCATCCATTTTTTATTATATTAATCAAAATTATAAATTTCTCCTTACAAATATCATTTATTTGATACTATCAAATTACTTAGGTTTCATAAGAAGTATTCTCTAGAATTATTTGTAGAAGAAGTATGAAAAAATTCAAATGTTTTAAATTAAATATACAAAAATTACTAGAAATTATGTAACATAAATTGCTGAATTCCATAATAGTAAATACTAGATATTCTAATTTAGCATTTTTAAACTATTATATCAATTATGTAAACATAATATATATATTCAAAAAATTATGAAATGAAAATTCAATTTATTTAATTTATAGGTGCTTTTGATAATTCTATCAGTTTTTTTCAAAGGATAATTATATGAATTTTTAGAGGGAAGTTTATTTTTTTTATTTCTTATGCTTCAACCAGAGGACAGTGATAAGGATAAACAATAGTGTTTAAATTAGAATTAGTTTAATTTGAAGAAAAATTTAGGAAGATAATGAGAAAATACTTTAAATAATTGTTATGTTTTATAGTTATTTTGATTTATTGGATTACAAACTCATTAAAATGATTTTTGAGTTTTTTTCAAGGTACCTTCAAAAGGATTTAATTTATTTGACTTTTTGAAGTCATTTTATTTCATAAAATAGGAATTATTTGCTGATTTTTGTTTTTTAGAAGCATTATCTTAACTGTGATTTGATTTTTAGTCTTCAACTTTATTACTTTATTTGAATTTTGGCGTTGTAAGGTTTTTTTTAGAAAACATATTTTCTTGAGAGCTTCTAATGTCTAAGATAATCTTTAGTTGATCCTCCTTATTTTAATTAGTATTGAACCCTTCCTCATGATATGATTGAGTATATAGAGTATTTTATATTTTATTTAATTGCTTGTGCTCATCTTAATGTAGTGTATGTTTTATTTTCATTTAAGAACAAGATCCAAACAAGCAATTTTATTTTTAGCTTAATAATTGAGAATTGATTTAATTAATAAACATTTCAAAATCTGCTCTGATTGTTTTATATAGTTCCATCAACTATTTTCCATGAAAAATAATATCGAATATTTATTTCTTTAAATTGTTGTAGTATTCAATCAATTCAACAATAGAGGAGATTTAGTATAACAAAGAGATTTTACCTTTTTTAATGAGCAGTTCAAATTTATTAGGAGCATGTTTACAATAGTTATTTGAAATGGTTTGCCATTAGAGATTTTCATAAAAGTCTTCAATCACTTATTGAATTTTGGTATCGATTTCTTAAATCTATTTTGTTTCATTCATCTTTGTGTAGAGAATCATTAGATAAATAAAGCATTTTATCAAATGGTATTCTTTAATTGGGAAAATAAAATATCTTTCATTAATTTCTATTTAATTTATTAATAATTTTAATTATGAATGTTTTTTCGAATTTTGAGGACTGAGATAAGTTACATAACCAGATATAATTGCGTACAACTCATCTTTTTTAGTTTTATTCAAAATTTTGATTGTCTTATTCATAAATTTAAGTGCTTCATCATTTAATTTAAGTCTCTGTAAGTATTGCATTTTAATTAAACTTGATCCAAATTTTTCCAAAATTAAAGAAGATTTCTAGACAAATCTTTACTTATAAAATTATGTGAGGAATGTCTAAGCCATATGTTCATTTAGAGTTTAGAACATAGACAAATCATTTGATTTTTTTTGTTCTTAATTGTTTCTGATGTTTATAAAGATAGCTTTTATTTTTTATATTAGATTTAATTTCTTAGCCTAGAAATGCATTTGTATTATAAGATTATTAGCTTTTGAATTTGTATATGTACGATTAGATCTTTCTATATATCGAAGAGCACCTAAATATTATCCATTGAATTCAAAAATATTCCCTATAACAAACTACAATTTAGACATGATTTTACTTTTGAAAGATTTCCCATCTCTATACCACTGATTCATACTTCTGGTATATGAGTGCATAATTTTGAAGGCTGATCCTATATCATCCTATAGAACATATAGTTGCAATTGCTTCAGAACTACAATCACAACTTCATCTGAAAAGATATCAAATGATCTTAATAACAACACTTCTGCAACTTTTAAGCATTTGAGAGAATTATCTTAATCATGCACTTCAAGGTAACTAATACCCAACATAAATTCCAACTTAGCCTTATTGCTTGTTGCCAAGTTTTAAACTTTAATGTATGAGAATTTTTGAGTAATTTTGTCTTTTGCTAAATGATCACATTATTCTTATGCTTCTTCTGTTGCAATGAATTCAGGAAAATGACTATCATAAAGGACTTAACTCATCTCTAAATTAAGCATTGCAGAGACTGGTTGCAACTCTCCTTTTGTATTTC